AAATATCTCAAATAACAATTTTTTAGCAAACCTCGAGACTATGTAGATACACACATATGTACATTTATAGTTCAATGGTTTCATCAAAAATTTCATTGCAAATATTTATCCATTCCGGCTAACATATAAAAAAAACTTCCGGTTAAAGCTCTATAAAAACTTGGATTAATTCAGCTTGTTAAGTTTCATGACAAACCTGAGAGACCCTGGAAATGCAGACGCTAAAGGTAACAGCCAGAGAGTAAGGGATGGAGGGAGCTAGGTATAGTGTGCGGAGGGGGGGAAGGGATGAGAGGTAGAGAAAACGGTATTACTTTCATTAGCGAGCGTCTCTCATTAGCATGAAGTAGCAAAAATGTTGGATGCTTGGACAGCAGCTGTTGAGTCCAGGCAAAGCAGACATGGGGATGGGGGTAGGGTATGGAGTCGCCAAAGCGTGGGATTATGTGGCTAAACGAATGAACTTTGCTAATTGATTGACCCACAACAGCGGGGCCAATGGGCTGTCAAGGTTAAAGGATATTCAAAACTAATTAAGATGCGATTTATCTACATACATACATACATACATATATACATATCTAGGTATATACACATATCCATATAAATATAGTATTTCCTAATTAATAACATAGACTGAGATATAGAGTTTGCAGTTGTGAAATCTTATATTAAGTTTCTAAAATATAGATGACAGATTTTTATTATTAAGATATATCATATATCTATACATATACATAAATATTTTCGAAACATAATTGGCATGCTCTTCTAAATTAGACTCAATAGAGTTTAGCTACCTTAGGGTAGCAAATCGGGCAACTTGGAGGCATCGGCATTATCATAGCAGCCCATATCGGCCTTATACAATATACGATTGATTTCATATTGTATAGTGTATTTGGTATGCAAGCTGTATTTGCTGAGCTTGGCGTTCAGGTATTGCAGGAAGCTGGCGTTATCGTTGGCCGCTTGCTGCGAATGGGTCAAGGCATTGGCATTGCATTGGCCCGGGGCCGACGATGTTGAGGCGTGCGATCCCACAGTGGCATGAAATGGATCCTCGTCGGGATACATGTAGGATTCGCTAGAATCGTTTAGGCCATCCGGTGAATGGACCACTTCGCACAGCTCCTCCTTGCCAATGTCCAAAGTCTCGAATTGGCCATTACCACTGGAGGTGTCGTCGTCATTGGGGCATGCCTCCGGCACGGGCATCTGGAATGTAAGAAAGTTGGATCAGTATATGTATATGGAATATATGTTTTGCCACGAAGTTCAGATTTTTAGAATCGACTTTTGTTTAGCGTTGTATAACACTTGTATAACTGCCATACGGAGAGGTAGTAAAAAGCAATTGCAAAACAGTTGGCCTAATTTGTTTAAAGTGTGAGCTAGAGTAATACGGAGGAGATGAAACAGAAACAGAGGGAGGAAAAGAAGAGTGACTGAGAGTGAGAGTGAGAGAGCTTAACTGATCTCAACTATATATTACCTGTGGCTGACCCGGCTCATCAAGTCTGAATACCAATTTTTCCTATTGGTTTGGTAATATTTATATGTATATATACATACATGTGTATATATATGTACATATGTAAAAGATAAAGCATATAATATATAGAGAGAGAGATTTCGAATCAGTATTACGTCTTACCGATTTGATAAACAGTTTGTGTGGCTGCGTCTCGAATTTGAACATAGATGACAATGGACCCGTATCCGCTGAACCGGATCGGTTCGCATTGGCTGATCGACGGCGCTGCTTCTCTAGCATCACCTCGGCGTACGTGGCCGGGTGTTTGCGCTTTAGATGGCGCATCAGGTTCTCCGAGTGCCTGCCGGCCATATCGAACAGGCATACTTTGCATGTGCTTTTGTGGGTCTCGTCGTTGTAAATGAAATGATTGTTAACTGGATTTTTGCAACGCTTAGGCGACATTATGTTCAACAACGACAGTAATAATATTAACAATAATAACAACAACAATAACAAATGGCAAACGACGATAAATATAATTTAAATAACAGCAACGACGACGACGACGACGACAAGTTCCAAAATAAACAACAGAAAAGCGTGCGTCGTACTTGAGTATCGTTCGTTTACTGAACGAGCTGCGAGAGAGCCAAACCAGAGTAGGAACCAATTCATGAACCGGTGCCAGGCACGCAATATGCATAGTAGAACTGGTAGCTCTAGTAGCCTCTCGCTCGCTCGCACTCCAGCGTGGCTGTCGCAGCGCGCAAATCTGCTAAAAAAAAAAAAAAAGAGCGCTCTGAGTGTGGTTCACAGCAAACGGTTCGTAGTTGGAGCACACACACACTGGTGCACACGAATCTGTATACACAAAACGTATGAAACCAGCGCACACTCACACATACAGTCGCAGGCGAAGAGCACGTTGAGAGTAAACGAAACGTCGAACCGGTTTGAAACGGTTTCTGTTTGTTGTTGTGCTTGCATTTTGCTGGTGTTATTGCTGCTGTGGCTGTCGCTGCCGTCGTTGACGTCGCTGCCTCTGCTTGGTTTGTTATTGTTGCTGTTGTTGTTGTTGGCGTTGTGCGCTTAAACACGTTATGGAATCTGAGGGTCATTTATGTGTGTGTTTCTTACTCAATGCTTTGTGGTTGTTACTCAGCCAGTCGAACTTTTATTTAAAGACAACAACAAACAAATAAAACAACAGAAATTCAGAAATTCGCACGCAATTAAAACAAAGCTAAGTAGCCAAACAGCTGATTAAAGCTATGTCACTATCCTGCTTAACCGCATATTTAACTCGAGTTTAAGAGAAGGAGAGAGAGGCATTGGGTCGAACCGGCGCTGAAGAGCGGCTTGTGCATGCATACATATGTATGCATATTTGTGTTTGTGTGTATTGTTTTCGTTCTATTTTCGCTTACAAATCATTAAGATGTTCAATTGAATTTATTGCAAACGACACTCACACACACATACACGCATATGCAAAGTCACAAAGTATACGATTATTGTTCCGTGTAGTGTTGCCAATTTGGCTATTTTCCCGTCAGTTTTGGCGTTTTGCAAACACGGAACGCGGCAGAAATTGTGAATTCGCAACTGACGGAAATTAAAGCTATAGTAAACAATTAAAGTTTACGTACGCAAAGATTTAAATTATATTCTAATAGAAAGTGCTTAAATCCACAGAAACGTGTATGAGATGTGTTTCATTTTATATTTGCCAACTTAAAAGTATTTTCATTAAATGTATGTTTAAATCAGCTGTAAAACTATTTTTAAACCCTGAACCCATTGAAAATGGGAAATCAGGGTATAATGGTTTTGTTAAAAGTATGTAACAGGCAGAAGGAGGCGTGGCAGACCCCACAAAGTATATATATTCTTGATCAGGGCGACGAGCAAGGTCGATTTAGCCCTGTCCGTCTGTCTGTCCGTCCGTCCGTAAAATTTTTTTTCCTAGGTCCGTGTATATCACGCGCATATCAAGTTTTTCTCTATATATCGATACCTACTCCCGATATTTTATTATCGATTGAAAACCTTATCGAAAGCTAGTTATTTAATTATATCTTCTACACCTTTAGAGATAGAGCTTCCAAATTTTAAATGTATACTTAAATGCATTTTATATAATTTCGATTTTTGTTGTAATTTAACCCCCACCCCTATATCCACCCCCTCACCCTCATTATTTAACAAGTAAATTCTTATAATGTTGCCCACATTGCAGCGCAGCCCAAGCGCAGTCGCTGCTTACTGCACAGTTATTAGAGCGCGTTCTAATACGTGCGTGTGTATGTATGTGTGCCGAAAAGAAGTGCAGAGTGATTAAAATATCAGATTAGAGGGTTCAGGGTATCTCCTAGTCGAGCAGTCTCGACTAGATTCTTCTTACTTGTTTTTTTTTTTTTTACTTTTATTAATATTAATGTATTTAAGAAATAACTACATATAGTGGAATAATAATGTATTCGTGCAGCAGAAACATTCAAATGCAATCATTTATATAACTGATTGACAGACTAATTGGCAAACTGATTGACAGTCTGATTGATTATCGGACTGATTGGCTAGCATACTGGCTGATTTATCGATAGATTGATTAATTCAGTGATTGAGTTGCAGCATAAGAAATCGACGATTGACTAGTAGATTGAGAAACAGATTAATTGACTGATTAATTGCTCTAGATTGACCAAATGATAAAGAGACTGATTGACGGACAGTTGGAGTGTTTGGCAGAACAATTGATTGATAGACTTACAGCATATCGGATCGACGATTGACTGATAGATTGTCAGACTAATTGATTGACTAACAGATTGTCTGATGGATTATCTGAATGATTGACGCACTGATTGATTGAGCACTTACAAATCATTGAATTTGATGGACAGTATGACTGATAGATAGACAGATTGTATGATGGAATGAGTGCCTAAATGACTGAATATTGATTGATTCATTAAGTGGTGGATAGACTTATTGATTGATTTGCTAACTGCTTGATTCACAGATTGATCGAGCAGTCCTCTAATTCATTAGCAAACAAGCTAGTTAGTTTTATAATTGACTAATTGACACTCCATATGATTTGCCGAGTGATGGATATGCAACTCGAAATTGCCAATATATGAAATATTTATAGATAAGAAAATCGGAAAGTCGTGCGTTTTGTTTTTTATATACACCCATCTACATATGATATTGATAATTTTTTTTACTTTAAACATCTGTAGGAAGGTTACTTACTATTTTATAACAATAAAAGAAATTTTTTTTTATTCTAAACTTTTTTTTCAGGCTGAAGAAATGGAGTGTACCTATTATATTCAGCAGGCCCTTTTCAATGAATTGTGACTACTATGAATTTATGGGGCAATACAATTTTTTTTTTTTTGGCATGCATTATATTGCCAGATTGCTTTCTTAAAGTTACCATGAATTTTTTTTTTTTTTTTTTTTTTTTTTAAATATAGAAAATTAATTAGTTATGAAAGAAACTTCAAAATTATTTTCATCATGAGTGTATATGTATAAATATGTGTATATTATATATGTTACATTATATAGCTTTGGATATCATTTGATTCGATTTCCGCCCAACAGGAAATTGAATATCTCACTTATAGCTCAGCCTTTTGAGTATGTCTAAATATGTATATAGCTTTATATTTATATTTATATGTGTATATGTATGTGTATGTCTAGTACAGTTGTCATTATGTTACGCCCACCAGATACGCCCACCTGGCGGGCTTTGAAGTCAGTTGGAGCCGTTGTCAGAGTATTCTGTGACACTCCTTTGGGTTTCGCTGTTGCTTCTCCATTTGCTTTTGAGTTGCTTTCGCAATTTTGTCCTTGTACGACTTCTGTTGCTTCAGACACCCATACCAACCACTCACTCACCCAACACCCACCCACCCACACACACACACACACACACACACATACACAACTGTGTATAGCTAGTCACCCCCATGTAAACAGAGTCTAGTGCAAAATTTCTGCAGTATTTGGCTAATGTTCTACGGCCCGTTTCATCAATGTCACTTGCCTCGCCCCTTGCACGCCCCCACGGCCACCTACACATACTTGCCTCATGCCACATGCCTCATGCCACATGCCGCACGCCGCATGCCGCACGCCTCATGCCACATGCCGCGCTTGCCGCATGACAAAAAAGTAAACGCAAACTTCTCAACACCAGGGCAAACAACTTCGTCCTCACTCTCCCTCTATAGTTCGCTCTCGCTCTCTCCCTGTTTGTCTGTCTCACCTCTCTCTCTCTCTCTCTCTCTCTCTCTCTGCCCAGCCACGATTTCCGTCTGAAACACAAAGGCCGGCAATATATATACACACACACACACAGATACATATACAAATATATGTATGTAGAGAAATAAAGTCCTTCGGTCGAATCAGTCGTCCCCTCCTTGCTTTGGTACATCGAAACGTTTCGGGCTACGCTCTTATTACAGCCTGTAAATACTCTGAGGTTGAGTGGGCATAGCCCGTTAGATATCCAGTTGAAGGCAGGCATTCCATGTTGGGCGAACGGTTGAGCAAACGGAAAAGGCAGCGGGTCTTGAAAGTTCTCTGAAATAGAGGAATGGAATTTAGGTTTTGAGCACAAATGGAAAGAGAGGGAGCGGGAGAGAGATAGAGACGACTTGTGTGTGAGAGTGAGATAGTAATAGAACTGCCTCTCAGAGGAAATACTCTCAAAGAGTATTCACTTCACTTCTTCACTTTATGTCTGTTCCTTTCCTCTCTCCCTCTGTTACTCTCACTATAGCAGAGAGAAAGATCGTGGATGCGGAGAGAGAATTCACTAAGAGCAGTACAGATACAGAGAAAGGAAAATATTTCTCAGAGAGAAATAGAGAAAGTGAACGAGTTTTCTAGAGAAGTGTTCATAGCTAAATACATTTTCCTGAGAATGCCATCTGAGAGAAAATCTTTTGTGAATGCGTTGCGTTTGAAATAGATGATGCTTTAGCTCACGGATGATCCTTACTTTATAGAGCAGGAGAAACACAGAAAGAGAGGAGAGCAAAAAAGGGAGAAAAATTAGGACAGATTATCAGGGAGAGAGGGATGCTGTTTAAGAGAAAGAGAAAGAGAAAGAGAAAGTGACAGAGGAAGAGAGAGAGAGAGAGACTCTGATGCCAAACATGTCCTAGATACATATTATAATATTTGATGATTGCAATTCGTATTACCTATGCTTCTCCAGTGACCATGATATCTATATAAAGAGAGATGTATATTGTATAACATGCCTATGTATACATATATTATGTATTATTACCTCGATTGTAGGGTATTTGCTGCTTCGACTTGCTGCGATTTGCCTTTCCAGCTCAACTTGATTTTATGGCTCTGTTGAGTGTCCGTTGCGACGCTTGAGTACAAAATCATTTGACTAAATTTGAATGCGATTCTGTATGTGTGTGTGCGTGCGTGTGTGTGTGGGCGTGTGTATGTGTGTGTGTGTGTGTGGGCGTGGGCGTGCGGAACAGTTGCTTTATCTATGCAAAATAGGTCCTGTAAGCCGTTCGCCTTCAGGGAAACTGCTTGCTTTTCATATGCTTTTTGTAAAGTTTGTAAATAATTTTGAATAAATCGTCTGCTTTATGTGAATTGTGCAATCAATAACCAGCTGATGACCGATTGCGATCTATTGGTGGTGCAGTGTTGTGAAATGCCTGTTGCTTGCGCTGGAATACAGCTGATTGAGGCCATCTCTAGCGCGTTCACTGAGTCTCTTGCTGATCCACTAATTGCCTCCAATTCTAGTTCCAGTTCCAGCTCCACTTCTAGTTCGTAGCTCCAATTCGAGCTGCAACTGCCAATTCAGCTCGATTCGAAGCTGTTCAAAATACTTCACTGTGTGCGCCTGTGTGTGTGTGTGTGTGCGGGCAGGGTGTTTTCTATACCCCTATATGTATATGTGTTTGTATATGTGTCTTGGTCAATTCCCATGTGTAGCTGATTTCGCCATCATTAAAATCATCTGAATTGCCGCTTGTGCCGCCTCTGACCCCATTCAGTATCCAATGTCCACAGCCCCCGCCCTCTCCCACTCACTCCCACTCTCTTCTTTTCTCCCTCCCTTTGCCCGAAAAGGTCAACGAAGCGTATTTTATGAATAGATTGAAAAAAAAAAGTGGAAAAAAAGGGAAACCCACCCATAGTAATAATGTTAAATGCCGCTCTCACTCTCTCTCTCTCTCTTTCTCTCTCTCTAACCGACTTGTTTGTAGGTTAAAAAGCTAAAGGACTCTAAGGAGCCCTCTGTGTGTGTGAGCGGGAGAGCACGAGTAAAAAGAAGGAGCTGAGATAGAGAAAGCGAGAGAGTGAGCGAGCTGAAAGAGAAGGCGATAAATAGTGAATTAAAGAGCAATAATTAAATTCAAGAACACTAAAGTGGAAAAAGTGGAAGTAGATTGTGTAAAGGAAGTAAGTTAATGTAACTCTATAAATTTACATATACGTATATAAATTATATAACAGCTAAAATGGGAATTAAATGATGGTAGCTAAACGAATAATATATACAGTTGTATAACAGTTTATACAAGCACTAAGCAAAAGAGTCAGGCTCAAATGAAATATGTGGGAAATATAACAGGGAATATAACAGTTTTAACGTATTCAGCTATACAATAGCAATAGCAGTTATACAAAAGCAGAATGACACTTCTGAACTAAAACAGTATAAAATGGTTGGACTCGCGGGTATAACAGCTTATATTAAAGTGAAATATGCAAAATCTACAGATTATAACAGTTCATATAAATTGGATATAGAGTAGATTTCGGAAAATGTGAGTATAACAGCTGTATAACAGTTTGTATGAAACTCAAATTGAACGAATTTAAACAGTTCCAATAAGAATGAAGTAGATAGTTTTGGAAAAATAATGAATAAAAGAGTATAACAGTTTAACATTTAAACTTCCATACAAGACAATAACAGTCTGTAGAAGAATTCCACTTGAAAGCAAATGCTATATAGCCGCTTATCAGCTTACATAAATAAATGGATGTCAATATAACAAAACGGCAGTAAAACGATTCGTAAGAAAGTTATGATAAGCAGTCTAAGCCAAAACGATTCCATGAGAACCAAAATTTTTGGTTGCCATAAACAACAAAACCGTTCCGACCTCTTCGTATTTCGTCTATCTGTATTGGTTTATATTATGTGTCACATAAACATTTATAAACACATCATTTCTATATTTAGAAGTTAAGTTTCCCATTGGCTCTCTCATTGCAGCGAAACTTTTGAAAGTGTTAAGCCCAGGATAGGGCAATTAGAGCATCTGGAATTACGAGAAACTTGATCAGAGATTGCGATGCGAAAGCGCCTGGAATGTTCTGTTAAAGATATATTTAGCTAGTTGATAATCAAGATGGAGAGCTTATCTTAATCAAGCAGTCGGAAGACGCTGTGGAAACTGTGTTAGCAAACACGTGAATGTGCGCCAGCTGAGCGGGCTCGACTAGCCGATGCCCTGTCTAGAGCTAAGGAAAAACCTATTGGTTTTACACTAGATGTGGGAGTATATATGTATGTATAATAGATGTTTGTCAAGATGTATATACATATATGTATATATAACATATATGTGGAGCTGATCTAGCCCATATACCGCAGCTTCATTGAAAGGGTATACAAAAATCTACTGCCCACACTCATCAAGTGGGAGCAAACGAAACTGGATAAAACTCAAGTAGTCAAGTGAAAAGAATGCATTAATGGGGTTTATATTTATATATAAATATATATAGCTATATATATATATATATATATATAATATATAGTCTCGCATCAGAGTGAATTTTAGTGGATCGCATTGCGCTCTCATAATTGTATAAATTTTTATTAGTGCATAGCTTAAATTAGTACAATATACTTAGTGTATGGGTGTGTGTATGTGTGTGTGTGTTTCTATTCAAATATAATGTATGTGTGTGTCTGTGTGTGGGCATTGCCTAATATATATATATATATATATATGTATATATATGAGTGCACATATCTCGTGCCTTAGTCGGGCGCACAATATTGACGTATCTCGGGATAGCCGCAGGGTCGCAAACAGCATTCGTGGATGGGTCCGTTCTGCAGGGGTCTGTAGTAGGTGCCGTCGGCGGCGAAACGCTTGCTCCGACTGCCAAAGCTTTGGGCTGCACGCGACGTAAGAGAGTTTAGAATTAGTGATGAATTCGAACAATATACCGATATGTGATGATCGACTTACGATAGAGCTCGGCCAGCGATACGGTGCGCCCCTTACATATATAGTGTATGGTCTCATCTAGATCTTTGCTGCAGCGATGCTTAACCTCCAGCTCCTCGGGCGTAAAGGCGATCGGTGTGCTGGCCACCAGGGACAGACCGACTGTCAGACACACTACCATGGCGAGCAGGGAGCGAATACGTGAGCTGGATGCGATGAAAATCATCTAAAACCAATGAAATAGGAATATTATATATAAAATTATGAGAAATACTTAGGAAAACTCTTATATGTATAGGGAATATAGAAGTTTTGTTGCTTGCTGCTGTATTATATATGTATTTATTTCTGTGATATTATAGACAATTATTATATAGACCTTATGTCATATATTATGTATTGCCTGGGCAATGTGTAAGTATATTAACATATATATGAAATATTATAGTCACTAAAATCGAATTTCAACTCTCTTGATATGGGCACAACAAATATATTATATAACAAATATATTATATTATTGGGGTGACTTGATTAAGGCTCTATAACGAGAATTCAACTTCTTCTTTTAGGCTTTAAATGCATAGAAATGTGTAATAGAGCCATCAAGTTGTAGGACTAAAAAATTTATAAGAACAACTTATAGAAGCTTTGAAGTCAAGAATAAACGGATTTAGTAGAGCTGAACGTTCCATAAGAAAACGCTATAGAAAAAAGAATTTGGTAAAGCTGAAAGCCCAATAAGAAAGAAAGCTAAATAAGATCCAATAGCGCCGAAAATTCTGGTCCTCAGACAAAGTTATATGACCAAAGTTATATGGTTATAGCATTTTCCGCTCCAGGGATCGTCGTTATAACCGGATTCTACTGTAATTCAACGAGTTATCTAACTCTATAACACAGAAGTGACTACACATACCATACATATACCATATGAGTAATATTTGGCTCGAAATTTGTATACAGGAAAGAGACAAGTAAAATGGCTATATCTGAATTGAATGGAGGACCATGTTGATATCGAATTAAATATGGTTTTATATGTAAGCATATAATTATTATATGTAGTTTTATATGAGATACATCCACAAGTTATTTAATGTAAACCCATTCCTGCATTCAAATTATATTTAGCCTTTTTGCTTAGCTCTTTCCTGTATATATATATATATATATATATATATATATATGTATGTATATGCTTCCAAAGTATTACCCATATCGTCTATGGAATATCATTTCTGTTTGATAAAATGTGTTTTTATTTTTATAGCATGCCAAGTCTAAAAATAATAAAAATAACAAAACAGTCGGAGTCATTCGCATCTGCCTCTGCTTCTTATCAATATCAAATATTATTGTGTTTCCCTACTGAAGAATCTTTCTTCTTCTTCTTGTTATTGTGTTTTTGTAAATATATACGCATAGTATATAAATATATTTATAGTATATACATATAGTATATACATAAACTTCAATGGTTAAAAATAAACTTGAGCTCAGCTTATCATCTGGAAGAAAACAAAATAAAAATTCCAAAATTTAAAGAGTGTGGGGGGAAGGGGAAGAGAGAATGAGGGAGCGAGAGAGAGTGCTAGGCAGATATCAGCATATTGAAGTTTTATATATAATATATACATAATTATATATTATATAAAATATATACTATGTACATGCATCCCATATTTCATAGGGCAGCCGACGATCCCAAGGTTGTGCGTGTTTTGATAGTCTAAACTTGTTTACGCTAGATAATGCAAGCGGAATCTAGATAGGATTCCAAGAACTCTGACCTCCACGTGGCTGGTCCATAATAGAGGAAGGGCTTAGAGCACAGCCAGACTTCTTGTTGATTTAGTATGACTAATTATTTCTCGAATTATATATGTAAAGCACATATATCCAATGAGAAGAGATCTATATATATGTCTATACATTCAGCTTGATTTCATGTAGCATACTTATTTGAAAAACATTTTACAGTTAGACATGCTTAAGTTGGACTTGAGGATTCAGGTTTAATTTGTATCATATAAGATTTATATGAGATAATTTAGAGGAAATATTCATTTCATATATTCTATAGATGAATATAAAATTGCTTCACTTACTTTTGCATATCAAGATATGGCTGATCCTTGATGATATATTTTTCGGAAATATATATGTATATAAAGATATTTCAATTTTTATATATGTATGTATATATGGATAGATGTATATAAGTAATGCAGATACTTTTGTTGTTGTTGTTGTCTTTCTTTTTGGAGCTTTATCACTTTCTTAAGGAACTTTCTTTTTGTTATCGTTTCTTTTTGCCATCACACAGTTTCGAAAATCACAATTGTTTTTTTATTTTTGTTGTTTTTGTCACGAAAAAAAAAATTAAATAACAGTTACGCACATATATATATATATATAGTTATGGATATTAATTATAGATAGATGTATACGGTGTGTGTGTATATAGGATTGCTTAGAGATTCACACAAACACGAGAAAAAAAGTTTTTATTTATAATATAGGACAAAAAAAAAAAAAAAAAAATTGATAAACTTTAGTTGGAGTTGAGAGCCTGGCTAAGAGAGTCGGGCTAGTGTGTTCGGGCGTGTCTTTGGAGTACGATTCTTGTATAGCTCGCGCGCAGTTTGGCGATTTTGTTGCATTTCGTTGTTGTTGTTGTCCCCGTTGCAGTTGCTTTTGTTTTCTCTTTCGGCTTCAAGTATGAAGTTTCGGTGGGGTCCTGATACGCCGCGACCAATCGCCGATTGCTGCAGACTGTTTGAGTGTTTTTTTTGTTCTTCTTTTTTTTTTTTTTGCGTTGGAGCGCACGACCCAACGATGCGTCTGGCTTGGATTTGGAACGCGCTTTGATGAACAGGCTCGGCGTGTCGTTGATCGTTGATCAAGCGACTTGCACAGACAGACCAGACAGACAGAGCAGGCCGACACTCTCTCTCTCTCACTCTCTCTCACTCTCACTCTGTCTCACTCTCTCTCTCTCGCTCGCTTCCCCTCTCTTTTCCAATATAAAGCTGAGCTGAGCTCTGTTGCTTGGGCTCTCTCTCTCTCTCTCCCTCGCTCGCACTCTCTAGCTGCCTCGGCCACTCACACAGCCAAACGTAGTAACAGTTGTGTTCCTGCGTTGACTCCTGCTTTTTCTGTAGTTCTTGCTGTTGTTGTTATTGTTGTTGTTATTGCTGCTGCTGTTGTTGGGGGCTTTCGCTGACTAAGCTTTCGTGCTGTTGCCCTTGCAGCCCTCCTCTTTCATTGATTCCTTTTGTTTAGTCGACGATCGGTAAACGCCTCTACTCAAACCATTGGGTGTGTATGTGTGTGTGTGTGTATGTGTACGTGTGTCTTGCTATCGGTAATATCAAATAAACAATCAGCTGCTTGGCCTGCACACTTATTACGAAATTGTAACCTCTTGCACGCGCTCTCTATCTGTTTGTCTCTCTCTCACTCTCGCTCACTGCTCTACTCTGCTCCTCCTTCTCTCTGAGTGACAGTTTTTGGCACGCGCTCTCCCGCTTCGTTAAGTTAGTTGTGGTTTGCCTGTTAATGATTCGTGTGTTTGCCAGTGTTTGTGACTGTGGCTGTGCCGCACAGCGTTTACGGGGCGAACCGATGTGAATTGTATTTTTAGCGACCAGTGTTCTATAATTAGACACAGACGTCCGACTCAGACTGTGGCTGTGGCTGTGGCTGAGGCTGCGGCTGTGACTGCTGTGCGTTTTGTTGTTATCTCATTTTCAACGAATCAACATACACGCATGCATACGCACACGCACACACATGCACAGAGGCTACTACTAACACACACACACACACACACACAGTTACATACACTTACGTACACACACTTACACTTACTCAAGGCACTTGCAAGATTTATTTGTTCGCTTGCTTTGTCGTCTGATTGACTTTCCTTTGGCTTTTCCGTCTGCTTATTTATATTTATTTTCTTCGTTTCCTGCGAACGAACGTTCGTCAAGTGCTTCGCACCAAAGTCGATTGGTTTTTGATGGCGAGTTGATTTTAGTTCCGCTTTTCAGTGTTGATCAACTGTGCTATTTCTACGTTCCTTTTTTGGTACTTGCACTAATTGCACATTTGCAGTAACAGTTACATCTGCGTACTATAAGCACCCTCTGTTGGTTTTATTTGTAAATCTTGTACATATTGTATGCATGTATGTATGTGTGTATGAATGTACATTTTTTTAGGCACTCGTTGCTCGTTGTTTCACAGCCGAATTGAAAAATTCGAATTCTTTTGTGTGCTGCAAGCGCCTCTTGAAACATCCATTGGATTGCCACCCGAACTGAGCAGAGCACCCGAGTAACGGTTCTGTCGATCTCTGCATTGATATTCATAAGCATACATACATATGTATGTACGTGCATGTAGGTATGCATGCATGTCTGTATGTATGGCTACATAATTCGCATTACGCTGCCCTAACTGTGCTTTGCACTGTGCCCGCACATTGGGCTTAAGACTGTCAAAAAACTCTAATAAAAGCTAAGTACATTTTATTGAAGCGTAGGGAATATTTAATAGTATTTTTGATTATGTATTTATTATATAAAATACTAATATTACATTGACGTGTATTTTATTTTAAAATGTCTACAATAAAACTAAATTATTTTTTTATTTATTTATTTATTTCCTTTGTGTTTCATAATTTTGTCTTAGTATTATTTTTAATGCAAAGAAATATTCTGAAAATTCCCCCCCTCAAAATTATTGCTCATGAAAGCAAATATCGAGGGGTCACTGTAGCCACGACCAGCATGAGTGTGGAAGTGCATGTGTGTGTGTGTGTGTTTGTGCTGTATTCAGCATTAATAACAATAACAATGACAATATTAATAATATTTACTGCTGAACACAGTACACACACGCACGCACTCCTGCATACATATGTACATTCATAGATATAAATGTGTGTATATTGCAAGTGCATTTTGTGTGAGTTATCGGCTTGAGTACACGACGAATAACAATGCAAACAAAAAGAACAACTACATATGTATGTATGTATGTACATATGTGTGTAGAGTGAATCCATCACAGTGACAGCAGCATCAACCTCTTCCACACTCTCGCTCTCTCCGGTTGACTCTCTCACTGGCGCTCGTACTATACCTCTCTCCACACTCTACATTGTTTGGGGTCGACAAGCAGCAACATTGTTTAACCTGTGCACTCTTATTGATATTGCTGCTGTTGTTGTTGTTGTTGTTGTTATTGTTGCTGTTATTACTGTTGCTGTTGTTGCTGTTCTGGGAATTCTAGTTGGCAAACCAGTTGAGCCGAATGCCTTGCCGATTATCAGCTGTTAGGCGTTGCGGTTGGCGGGCGGGGAATGCAGCTACAGTAAGCGGCAAGATGTGCTTGTAGAGATAATACTCAATTGGCACTGGTATCGAGCTAAAGCCCAATGTCTATTTGATGTACATAAGTATATATGTGTGTATGTTCATATGTGCATTTATGATTGTATTTATGTTATCAACTCATTTTAAAGCAATTTAAAGTTAAATATTTGTTTTGGTGCCTATAATTGGCATAGAGGGCAGGCAGATAAGACTTGTTTATTATTTGTTTTAGTTTTATTGTCGTTGTTGCAGTTGTTCTTGTTGCTAATGTTCTTCTTCTTTTTTTTTAAAGCTGGGCTTTCCCAACAGGATTGCTGCTTATATAACATTGAGCAACAATTTTTATTTTTTATTTTTTTTTTATTTTTAATTTTTTTTTCCTCATTTATTTTGGTGCGTAGTACGCATTGGGTCCTTGGCTTGTTGTGGAGCATCTACTATTACGTACACAAATAAGTGTGCGTGTGTGTGTGTGCGAGCTCTGCTTTGATAACGGTATTGCTCTCAGATAAGGCATGTTGATGTTTTGGTTGCTTGAGCTGCTGTTGCTCTTGTTGTTGTTGTTTGTTGCAGCCAGCCGTATAAGAGCGGAAACCCGCGACAACAACAGCAGCAGCCACAGCCGCAGCAGCAGCAACAACAGCAACAGCAACAGCAACAACAAGCGCAGCCTGCGAGCATAACGGCAGTAAAAACGTAAACAACGCAACGTGAATTCAACGTGATCTAGTTTCCATTAAAAATAACAGCGCGCGCCCAATCGTAGACCTCCCTATTTTTAGCACAATCTATCAGAGAGACAAAGCGCTGCAGTGCGAGAGAGAAAGAGAGTGCGAGAGAGAGTGAGAGCGGGCGAGTGAGAAGGCGATCTATTCTCTGAGAAGCATTGACAAGTTATTGTTGTTTGTTGCTGTTGTTGATAAGCAAATGGTTGGGTCTCGTCGGCTGTCGGCTGTCGGCTGTCGGCGCTTGTCGTGTCTGGAGCGCGTCGGCTCTTGGGTGTTAGGTCTGGGGTCTTGGGTCTTGGGGTCTGGTGCCGTGTACGCAACGGGGTTCAAAGTCTGAGCGATGAGCAAGACTCGGCGAATTGACTGGCTGACAGCAGCGACTATTTCGTCTGCATACGCGGCTCAGCTTAGCTAGGGGGAATTAAGGGATGGAAATTGGATAATCGGGTGAATCAGTTAAATCAACTAATAAAGGGAATTTGTCATATGCTGAAGTTGCATATGTAATAATGCATTCAGTTCTAGGAAATTGCTTAACTCAAAATAATGGGAATTTCAGAATTTCATTGTTTCATGAACTGCCTGCGGAAATATTGAATAAATAGGGGGAACTTCTACACTGGAAAATGCTTTCAATGTACATCAATTCAATTACATTAAATAGATCTATAAGACAATTCCAAAGAAGGAAAACAAACACAGTTGTATATTCAAGCATACGACAAATTATTGGAAATAATGGGAAATAATGTAAATTAGTGGGTATTTCGTGTAAATAGTGGGGAAATTTTGACAAGTATTTCGAAAAATAAAACAGATTGAAACTTGAGGATAGAATATATAAGAAATTGGGATAATAACATATATGTATGTTACAAACTAAGGACAAATTTTTAGACAGTGTGAAATTCTATAAGCCTTTAACATATAAAATAATGGTAAATAATGATATTAATGTGGGATATACAGAAAATTAAGTGAAATCTAATGATGAATAGGAAAAAAATGTAATGCAATATATCCGAAATATAATGAATTTTGACTACATAAACTCTGTAGAATCAGAAAGTCTAGAGAGCTACAGGGACAGTCTAGTCTAGTACTAACAAATGTATCACAAACAGATATATATTGTATATATGAGATAACAGAGAAAGGGAGAGAGAGAGAGAGATGAGAAGTTGGAGGTGGAGCTGATAAGATTTGTGGGCGGCTACCCCAGCTGGAGTATAGATGGAATTCGCATCTACTATTCGATGCTGTCGCTGCTGATGATGTCGTCGAGGGAGATGACGGATCGGCCAGAGGCTGCCCAGCGGGCAATATGTCTATATTGTTTACTTGTGCTAAAATTGGATCTCCATTGATTGACATGAGCGACAAGTGGGCGCCAGTGCAACACGACGGCGACTCAGACGCAGATTATTGACCCAGAAGCGAAAAGCGGGTGCCTGGGTTGCTGGCGGGCGGTGCGATACTCGAGCCTAGACGAGAGTCCATTCCAGACACTGGCAGCAACAATAATAAAAATAATAATAATAACAACAACAATCACAACAAATGTAAACAAATAACAAAACATTATCAAATAATTTGAACTTTGCATTTTCGCTAAGCAATTCGATTATTATTCAAAAATGCATAGCAACAGTTCTACAAGCAGGATTAAGGGGTATATATAGGTATGTGAGTGTATGTGTGTGTGTGTGTGTGTGTGTGTGAGATCCCCAAAACGATATTGATGCGAGTCGATTATAACATAAAATGAAGTGTTACATAGATGACGGTTGTGTTGCCATCAGTGCGATTCTCCACGTCGAACAGCATCTGCTCGAATACTTCGTCCGGCATTCCGCCGTCGTACAATGTGATTATCACTGGATTGGGGGCGATTGGCTCATCGGTGAGGACTGGATCATCGGGGACGATTAGCTCAGCCGGAGCTTCAGGCTCCACGATCTCTATATTGAGGAGTGAGAAAAGGTCCACATCTTCATCATAAATAAGAAATGGTATCTCCGGCATTGTTGATCTTCAAAATCTACGAAATCTCAATTCCTCTTCTTCTTTTCCTTTCGTTCTCTTATTAAACTTTGGTTGCTTTTCCGCTTTTAGACTACGTCTTTGTCCAGTTAAATGGAGCAGCCGTCGTTTTAAATTCGCGAGTTTCAAAATTATAAAATCAAGCCGAAATTATGAAAAAATTAGGAAATTTTTTTCTCTAACTTTACTGTTTGAGTTTGGTTTCGATTGTGATTTGTGAGAGCCCTAAAAGTCTTTAGTCCTTAGGCTTAATGATTTCTATGTCTTTGCCTTCTAAGACAACTGTTTTTGTTTGACTTTTCTTTTTTTTTCTATTCTACAAAGTGCTTGAAAGCAAAAAGTAATTTTTCGAGTCGAAGCGTTGCACCAATTCCAGTTGTTCGATCCTCCAAACTATGGCTAAACTTGGCCGTCGGTAGATGGCGCCATTCATCATGATTGAATATGGATCATTTTCTTTAATGAAATCTTCACAGACTTTTGATATTTTTTGTTCCTGAATGAAAAATATTTACTGTATGTGTGCAGAAATTTTGAGATGGTTTGCTTAAATTTATTAATTTATTTATTATGAAAAATGTTTTGTTCTGAGTATAGTTTGAGAATTATTCATAGAAGACACCTTTCTCGCACTTTTGCTCTCTATCTCTCTCTCTCTCTCTCTCTCTGTAACTTGCTCGCTCCTTGCCTCTCTTCTTACACGGTCCTCCTCCCCCCCACTCTTTCTCTCGCTCTCATGCTTTCTCTCTCATCTCGTCCTCTTTTTCCCCCACTCTATGCTTCTCTCTTTCACTCTCCCTCTCTATGTCTGTACATGCTGAGTATTTGTTAGTGCTTCAATCCCGCCTAGAACAAATTTCTTATTATTGAATTTTTAAAGCGTTGACAAAAAATTCTGAAACAATGCGAAATTATCGCGTGAGTCAATAAACTGACGAACGACCGCTTGACCTGTGCCAACAACAACAATAATAATAACAACAACAACAACAACAGCCGCAATGGGATTCGACCTTAAGCCACAGAAAATGCCGCCAACGTGCATAGACACACATTTGGCTGCTGCGAGACGCAAAGAGAGAGAGAGAGAGAGAGGCATGCAGAGAAAGAGAGAGAGAGAGAAGACTGAAGTTCATGGCCAGGATGCGTAAGCCATGTTAGTCAGCTGCCAATGAACTGCAAGAGCCATTGCACAGTGGCACAAATCAATCAAACTTGCAGCGCAAATTTTGAAAATATGCAACAATTTTATTAAAAAATTGTATACCTTAACAAATTGTTAACATGGTATAGATTAATATTAGTCACAATTGTTCGTATAATTTTTTTGTTTTATTTTTTTATTTTATATATATTTTTTTTTAAATTCTGGGCATCAAACAATCTTATGAATAGTATGTGTACATATATGTAGTATAATTTTATTTTTAATTTTTATCTTGTTAAAATTAAACAACTATTGAACAATTTCAGTCAAACATTTTTTTATAGTAAAAAAACTAGATTTTTATATATTAAAAACAAAATTGTTTATGCTATCAATTTATTTTAAAACTTGTATGTATACAAAATATACATATTATTCTTCAATCTTAGCAAAGCAATTATTATGTACATATGTATATTAATAAATATGTATATATGTACATAGTTAAATCAATAGAGAATTAAATTTATATCTCAACAGGAAAACAAATTTGATACTATATATTATATGTACATATATTTACATATATGTATGTCTATATGTGCCACTCTTGTACCACGGTGCACGCTTCCAAGGTCAACTTGTTCCCCAAAGAAAAAAAGAGCAACAACAAGAAGAAGAGGACGCAGAAGAAGTAGACAAATGAAATTGTGCCTAACGGAACAGAGCTACGCAGCGCACATGCAGTGCAAAAAAATTATATGCACACACACACACAAATATCTACATATATATGTACGTATATATAATATAGCGGTACTTGGTTGCCAGCACCTAACTGTGAATTAGGCATTTGAACTGCGAAAGGTTGTCGCCCCGTCTCCAGGCGCGACCTTGGCCAGAGTTGCCACGCAATTGGGGACAATGCACCAGCAGCCGAAAAAAAAGAAGAAAATTGAAACGTGAATAGAAATCATGTTAATAAAAGTAAGAGAATGGCCTGGCTGGGAGCCGTTCTCTGTGTGTGTGTGTGTGTGTGTGTGTGTGTGTGTGTGTCAGGCTGTGACCTTTGAACCTAATCTAGAGAGATTCAGTTGTTGCATGGCTCCATGAATTGGCGCTCTGCGTGTGTGTGTGTTGTGTGTGTGGAAATCAACATCTGTAATCGGCACACGGCAATCACTTGGACAACGCGTGGAGCCAGCTGTAAACAAATAACAACTGCTTAATGTACACACATACCTCTATATATACATATGTACATATATAGATCACCTATTAATTTATATACTTATTTAGATTAGGACTACAATAAACCGCAATTTTAATCAGAAGTAGTAATCAATTAATCATTGACATTATAATAATATATGGAATAATGTTGGTGGACATGCGGCTGACCTTTATACAATATATTAGCAGCACTTACAAATAGCTGCAATAATAATATCAATTAATTTTAATTAATTCGCTTGTTTATTGTTTAGCAAACGCATAGCAAAAGGAAGAAGCAAAATCTGTGTTGCAGCACAGTTTTCACAGCTAACCTCGCATATAACGCACATTAAAGCTTAATTTAATCAATTTGTATATAGCTGTATATATATACATACATATATACATATCTGTGAGCTAGTTGAATTTGCTTGATATCAGTGAAAAAGCTATTTTTTTAATTTGGCGCCAATTAGTGTTGATGCGCCACCTGTCGCAAAGTTTGTGTACTACTAGCGTGCTTCTGTTAACTTAACAGAATCGAACAGCTGTTCTGCTCAATTATCGATGTTATTGCTGTAATTCGATTTTTTCATTTTCTACCGATAATTAACAAACAACAAGAAAAGCTCTATACGTATGTAAACAAACGTTGGCCACTAATATGCTCTACAAAAAACATGTAAGTTAGTTACAACAACTACATATATTAAATAATGCATATGTTGTATTCATTTGTATAGATAATTACGAATACCATTGACTTGCGTATATTCCTCATACTTATTTCGTAAAGCCGTCTTATCAGCGACGTGCCGACTGAATGCACAAAATAAAAAAACCCACAAATGCCTCAAACAAAAGCAAAATGAATTAAATCAGCTAACAACACTTAGTTTAATGTTAATTAAAATTGGCAGTCAGATTGACAAACTGCTTTAGCTATATACATATGCACATATGCACATATGTACGTATAGTGTAATTTTCGTGTCCCAATTAATTAGTTAAAAGCAGAGAGAGAGATAGAGAGAGTATGAGAGAGATGAATGAACCAGCAACTGTTCATATGACAAAGACAGTGAAACATCATTAAGGCAAACAGTTAAGCTTGCAAAAATAATTAAATTATTCTCTTAGTAAGAAAACTGCATTAGAAATGATTTCAATTCGTTGACTAAGTTTTTAATTGATAATTGCTTTTGATAATTATTTATTTGTTGCATTTGTCTTATGTTTATTAGATCCGCTAGGCTAAGTAGTTTACGCATAGCTTACAAATTGCTCGCTACAGTGAGCGCTGACTAACGTTGATATGGCCAAATCACTTGAAGGCTAAACACCTGGCTGTTGTGGTTCTCACTTAATTGGCAATAGCTGCGACCGCTGCTGCTGCTGCTGCTGCTGCTGCGGTTGCTGTTGCTCCAAACCGGTAACTGCTGGGCTGAGGCGGGTAGGGTAGCGAAGGGGCGTGGTAACCGCTTGTTGCCTGTGCAATGTGCTTGTTCTTATTGTTGTTGTTGTTATCGTTGTTGTTGCGTGTTGAGCAGCGACAAGGTCGAAACGTTTGCTTCGCCGCTTGTATGGGCTCCATTTTTGACCAAAGCCAAATGTCTCATACACACAGCTGTATGCGTATGTGTGTGTGTGTGTGTGTGCATGTGCGGCGGCAGCACAATCAATACACATGTAAACGCTCGACGGCGTCGCGTCGTTTACTATCGAAGTTGCTATTCCTACATAAAAAATTTGTATTTGTTTGTGCCGCATACTCGATTCGCAGCTCGCAGAGCACGGACGTGTGTTCTCCACAAAACAAATAATAAATAATAATAATAAGAAAAACCCGTAGATTCGGCCAGTGCGTGTGTTAAGGAGACGAAAGATTCTGTCCACGGTAGCGCGTTCACATCTTTCGCTTTTGATACCTGTTGCATCTGTCTGTTGTGCCGGGTTGGTTTTCCACATTCTTTGCCATAAACGTTATTTTTTTCGTCTTTCCTTTTTTTTTTTTTTTTTTGTTCTTTTTTGTTTTGGTTTGTGAACTGTAAAAGCCGAACGTCTGGCAAGAGTGTGAGAGAGTGAGAGAGAGAGAGCGTGCGCAAGTGCTCTAGGACGGCGTGAATGGGAGAGTGTGGGAGCGGGAGAGCAGGAGAGCGGGCGAGTGTGCGAGTGCAATAGGCGGCAATATGTCGTAATCGAAGAAAACACTAACACACTCCTTCCCCAGAGATTGCCCACGAGTGAACTAGTGAATCCGCCGCATGAGCGAACAGTGCATGCCCTACATGAACAGCTCATTAATGAAGTGGGAGATGGGCGTGCGAAATTTCCTTTGTGTGTGTGTGTGTTTTTGTTTTAATGTTGTGTCTCTGTTTGATGCACTTTCGATTATTTATTAAGTAAACAAATTTGAAGAAAAAAAATGTAAAACTAACTTTGCATTTTCTTTAATTACATTTGATTTCAGGTTACTAAACAGTTATCGCCTAGCGCATACGCTTAAGAAACCAATTCTATATACATTGACGACACATAGGTATGTGCATATATAGATTATCTAATTTCTGATCTGATTTCGACCAGAAGTATTCTCTTCTATATAGATTAACTGAAGTGCATTTGAAAAGGCATTTGAAGTGCTTGGAGAACACACCGAAATACTCGAATTATAAACAAATACACACAATGGGTTCCATGCTCTGTAAGGAATACAAAACAACTGGCAAAGTTACGCCCAATCCGGATCAGAATTCAGGTATTATGAGGCTGAAGAACGAATAGTAAACAAACTGGAAGACAAAAGACAACTGCGCGAATCCCTAAACTTATCAATTATACCTAGAGCTAGGCTTTGTTCCATGAAAAGTAAAGTGCGAACTGAGAGCGAGAGACCGAAATGAGATACGTATATATTCATATATATCAACAAATATTCTGAAATGATCTATTATGACTAGAGCATTGTTTAATGTTAAGACATGTGAGACTGCGAGCGAGAGAGAGAGAGAGAACGAGGGGGAGAGCGCTTTCGCCGGCCTATTTCAGAAATGTATCTATGTATATCAATATATATGTATTCATATATGCATATAAATATATCTCAACATTATCATTTCTGTTTCTTTATCTCTCTCTCTTTCTCTATCACTCTTCTTGTAATGAGTTCCGTTTACCTTTCTAATTGTCTCTAATTGCTGTTCGACACGCAATCAAATTTTCCATTTTTCAATCGGTAATTGTTTAATTATGAATCAATAATAGTGAAAGAGCATCAGCTAGTCGGAAGAGAGTGTGTGAAAGAGAGAGAGAGAGGTCGGTTAAATAGTTCTGTTCGGTCCCCAGTCGTTCTTCGTCTACCCACTCAGCATAAATATCTCTCAGTTTACGCTCTCAACTTAGCTGGAACGGCGGCAATTTCAGTTTATCTCGAATTTGAGCTCTCGAGTGGCGTTTTTTTTTTATAGACTTCATAACAATAACAGCTGAAAAAGCCGTCAAAACGGATTGTTGCTTGTGGGTAAATCAGGCTAAGACCAAGAAACAGAAACATATTTTGCTTAGTTTTGTTTTGTTTTGCTTTGCTTTGCTTATTTCATTAAAATTAATTTTTTTACATTTACTATTACAATTGTTTTGAGCATATGACAAGGCCAAGACGTGTCTCTCTGTGTGTGTGTGTGTGTGTGAATTTACTCTGAATTTACGCTCTACTCATGTTAATTACACTAACTTATTACGATTTTTAGCTGAGCTCTGATTCAGTAACTTGTTCTTTTCCCCTGCATTTCGGGTTTTTTCCTATTTGTTTGCTTTTTTTATTATACCCTGAACCCATTGAAAATGGGAAATCAGGGTATAATGGTTTTGTGAAAAGTATGTAACAGGCAGAAGGAATCATCGCAGACCCCATAAGGTATATATATTCTTGATCAGGACGACGAGCTGAGTCGGTATAGCTCTGTCCGTCTGTCCGTCAGTATGAGCAAAAGGATCTCAGAAGATATAAGAGCTAGAAATTTAGCATGCATACTCGTGTATACCATAGGCAGTACGAGTTTGCTTTATTTTTTCGATAACTCATCCGATAACTTTTTTATCGAGAATAATCGAAAAATCGACTTGTTTTTTTTCAGCCTAGTTTGAACACTTTTAAACCTGGAGACTTCAAATTTGCGTTGTATATAGAGTTAATGGATACAAAGATTTTGTAATTTACAGATTTTGGATACCACGCCCCCTTCGCCCCCAATTTGTAAAAAACGCATTTCAAGTACTAGAGAATAGTGCTTTGGAATGTACACACATATTCACCATATAATTACGCCCTAAAAGTTTCATTACACAAAAGAAATTATTCAACAAATAAATTCTCATAATATGCCCACACTGCAGCGCAGCCCAAGCGCAGTCGCTGCTTACTGCGCAGTTAGCAGAGCGCAGGCTTATGCGTGCGTGTGGATGCATGTGTATGTATGTGTGCATTAAAGTGCAGAATGATTAGAATATCAGCTTAGAGGGTTCAGGGTATCTCCTAGTCGAGCAGTCTCGACTAGAGCCTTCTTACTTGTTTTATTTTAATTTTAAAATGATTACGTCATATTGTTGGGCTGGTTTGCGTGATTGTGTGTGTGTTTTTTTTTAATGGATATACTCATAAAAAGTAAATAAAACAGGCTTACAGTTTTTTTTTGCTTACTCATGCAACAGGTAAGCATGATAATGCTAAAACAGGTGTGAATTTGGCTAGATCGCCGCGGCTCATCAATGTATTTAAGAATAAAAATATATGTGTATATCTCTAATATATTGTAGTTACAGTATCCCAAGAGTAGTACTCCATTTTTCTTCTATGGCAGTTAGGGTATCTGCTAGTCGAGCACAAACTCACATGACGCACATTCGAAATTTTTCAATGAGTTGAAATGAATCGATGAAAAAGAAAAAAAAAAACTGTAATTCATTTAAAGTTATTTTTACCTGCTCACAAATCCAAACTTACAGTTTTTCTTATCGATCAAAGGTATGCCAAAAGTCAAGGCAGTTTGAACTCTATTAAAATTTTTACATGCAAAGCTAAAATAACTGAAATTTCGTATCGATTAAAATCATTCAAAAGTAATCGATAATTATGAATTTAAAATGTGCTATAGGCAAGCCTATAAACCTATATAATTTGCAGTTCGCTAGACCTTTTCGTAGTTATTTTAGCCTTAGCTAAAAGCTTTAGGCACGCCAGATGCTATCTGTCACACATTTATTATAGCCTAATTGAACCAGGTTGTTAATGAATGTACGGTTACAAAATCGTTGACTTGAATTATGCAATGTTTTTATTTTAGCTTAAGAACTTTACAACTAGTTCAGGTTCTTGTTCTTTTATAATCCGAGAAATTAGATAATTGTTACGATAAATTCGACTGGGGATTTCTTTGGTTGATAGTCAGAGACACGTTTAGCTATAAATCTTGGAAGCGATGATACTTTTTCATTAACTTGATGGTTTTTGCTGGTATGCAGAGACTAGACCATATGTATATCTAGCTATATCTTTATCCATAACCATATTCAGATTTACATCTGTAGATCAATCTCTGCTCCTCATTTAGCTATACCTGCGCCTTTCCAATAACCATTTCAATTGCCTAAGCTATAAGTCATCGTCGCTTGCTTGTCACATTGTTAGCCGTCATCCAGTTTTGGGCTCCGCCCTATTGATTATTTGATTAGACATGCCCATTTCCATGTCTTTACATGCCAACATGACGCAGCGCTTTTTTGACTTTGCTTTGCCCTTGAAGACATATCGATTATCTGTGGTCATTGCAAAATTCATTCAAAAAGACGGCCCGAAAAAGTGAAAGTCCTTTCGATTTGCTTTACGGCTGATTCTAAATATATACATATATATATATATATATATATATATATATAACTACATAACTACATACATACATATGTAGCAGTTCGGTTCACATGCGGCATGTCCAATTTTTTATCTAACATTCGTGATTGTTCAGTTCTTATCAGTAAACCTATGTCTGGCACTTGAAAAATTTGCAAATCATCTTGTTAATCATCGGAGAAATCAAATTAAAATCATAAAACTCACTTCGTTTGATGGAGTTGAATGTTTTAATAGCCTCCAGTCAAATCCTGTCGATCTATTGTTCTATCCTGAGATACGTACATATATTTCCGTTGTAGAGCCCATATCTATTGTTGAATGCAATTCGTTGCAATTAGAAACTTGTTCCGGTTCGCTGAAGGCACTTTTGAATTTTAATTATAATTTTATTTGAGTTCAATTTCTTCAATTGCTAATAGATTTAGATCTAGCTGATTGAAGTGCTGAACTAGTTCAATTTTTGCAGTTCTATAATTTGGTTTTATTTTTGTAGTTCCAATATTTATTTCCATTTTTGTACCTCCATAATTTAGTTCCATTTTTGTAGTTCCACTTCAACTCAATATTGGTTCTCAAACGGTTCAAAAACTGATTCCAAATAGTCTACAACTACAATATATATATATGTATAAACAATTTTTTTCATAGATCTTCTAGTTCGAGCTGGCATGAGCCATTTTCTCAACTGTTTCCAAAACTAATTGCTGCACAGTTCCTAGTTCCATATTCCCAGTTGTGGTTCCAACACTGTTCCGTGGCTAAAGAGCTGTTAATTAACGTGTATTTTTAAGCCAATACGGCATAGGTTTTTAGCTAGTTCCGCAGTGGGCTTATAGTAGCTCGGAACTAATTCCAAAAATAGTTCCGCAGCTAATTCCAGCATGTAAGCCTTTTTGTTTTTCAGTGTAATTTCATGCAAATTTTTAAATATGCAATTAGTTCCAAAACTGGTTCCAAAAAAAGTTTTATTGAGTGAAAAAAAAAACGCATGCAGACAAAAAAAAAATCAACTTATAGCTATGGTAAATGCAATATGACTTCTTATATGATTCCAATTAGAACCTGTTGCTCTGCTTGACAGACAGCAGCTCCATACGCTTGATGGCATCGTCCAGGAATTGCCGCTGCAGCTGAAGCTGTGCGAGCAGCTCCTCCGCACTGAGCAGCTGCACCTGATGCTGTCGCTGCTGCTGCTGCTGCTGTTGCTGCTGTTGCTGCTGCTGTTGCTGCTGCTGCTGCTCCTTGTTCGCTGACTCCGACCATTGGCTGCCGCGCAGCAAGCTGGCTGGGCTGGAGGAGCTCGAGCTGGCTGCATTGGGTCGCAGCATGGCCAGCACCCGCTTGATGAGCGAGGGCGTTGCGTTCGGCTCCGGCTGGGCGATGCCACCGCTGGGCCCCGACTCCGGCATGGCCAGCAGCGGCGTAAAGAAGTACGAGCCAACTGGAGCTCGCGGCGTGCTGCTGTGCACCACCTCGCGAGTGAGCTCGGGTTTGGTGGTGGTGGTGGTGGTGGTAGTGGTGGTGCGGCTGCTGCTGCTGTTGCTGTTGGCCTGCATGGCATCCAGCTGGACTTTGAGCTCGTTCAGTTTGTGCTGTAGAAACTCAAAGTCGGCTGCCAGATTGAGCGCCAGCTGCTGTGCATCCGGCTGGTGTGCCTTGCCCTCCAGCTTGTCGATTTGCCGCTGTATGTCCAGCTGACGCTGCTGCAGCTCCTCCACCAGCATCGGCATCTCCGGCGTATATGTGCCCATGTACAGACGGGCGATCTCCGCCTGCAGCAGCTGCTTGTGTACACGCAGCGCGCTCAGCTTTAGCTCCAGCTGCTCCTGCTGGTACTTTTGCTGCTGCTGCTGCTTGTCTCCCAGTTGCTCGCCTCCTGCTGCAGCTGCGCCGAGCAGCAGCGACAGGCAGAGCAGCGTTGCACAGAGTTCTGAATGCAGTGACGACATTTTAACAACTGAGAGCCGTTCACCTGCTCACCTGTTCACCTGCTCACCTGGGCGTCTGCTTTCTATGCCAGCCGAAGCAGCAGGCGACACTTTCTACTCGAATATTTAAGTTGATCTATAAAAATAAAAATAAAAAATATAAAAAACAAAAACAAGAAGAAAACTCGAACAAAAAAAAAAAAAAAAAAAACAATTGGGAAAACGGGAAAAAGTCATATTAAATGTTGTTGATTTCGTTAAACCCGTTAAGCCGTAACATTAAACCGTCGCCCCGCTCTCGCCCTCGCCCGCGCCCTCGCCCGCGCCCTCGCCCTCGTCTTGGGCCTTGCCCACGCACCCATTCCCGAATACAATTTGATTGCTAATCTGTTTTACAGGTGCCGCCGGCTCCTATCAATCCAAGTGCGAGAAGATGTTCGCCGTCAGCGATGTGGAGAAGGAATCGGAGTACACCGAGGCAGTGGCCGTCTGCAAGGCCAGCGAGGTGGCCGAGAACAGCATGAAGCAGGTGGACTTTGATGAGGATACCAGCGTGCTGCTGGTCAAGCAGCATGGCAAACTGCATGCCATTGGCTCGAAGTGCACCCATTATGGGGCACCGATGCACACGGGCGCACTGGGCATCGGGCGCATCCGTTGTCCGTGGCATGGCGCCTGCTTCAACCTGGAGACGGGCGACATTGAGGACTTTCCCGGCCTCGACTCGCTGCCCTGCTACAAGGTGAACGTCAGCGATGAGGGTCAGGTGATGGTGCGCATGAAGCGCACCGATCTGGAGAAGACCAAGCGTCTGAAGAGCATGGCCAAGCGTAATCCAAAGGACGAACGCTGCTACATTGTCGTCGGCGGCGGGCCATCGGGTGCCATTTGCGTGGAGACGCTGCGCCAGGAGGGCTTCACCGGCCGCCTGATCCTCGTGTGCCGCGAGCCCTATTTGCCGTACGATCGCGTCAAGGTGTGCAAGTTCGCGAACATCCCCATCGAGAGCATACAGTTCCGTGATGAGAAGTTCTACAAGGACAACAACATCGAGGTGTGGCAGGGCGTTAGCGCCGAGAAGCTGATCACGGCCCAGAAGGAGCTGCACTGCTCCAATGGCTATGTGGTCAAGTATGATAAGATTTACATAGCCACCGGCGGTGCGGCTGTAAAGCCGCCCATTCCTGGTGTCGACCTGGAGATGGTGAGGACGGTGCGCGACTTTAAGGAGGCTCAGGAGCTATTCGGTTTGGTAACGCCAAAATCGCGTGTCGTCTGCCTCGGCTCCAGTTTCATATCGTTGGAGGTGGCCGCGGCGCTGGTCTCGAAGGTGGCCAGCGTTACGGTAATCGGGCGCGACACCGTCCCATTGAAGGCGTCCTTCGGCGAGGAGATTGGCGCCCGTATCATGAAGCTCTTCCAGGACAACAATGTGACCATGCTGATGGAGAGCGGCATCACGAACATCATTGGCGACGAGGAGGGTGTGCTGATCGAGGTGGACCTGCTGGATGAGTCGACCATACCATGCGACATACTGGTCATGGGCACCGGCTCCAAGCCGAACACCGAATTCCTGATCGATTCGGGTGTGCGGGTCAATGAGAATGGCACCGTCGACGTGACCGATTTTCTGGAGACGAACGTGCCCGATGTCTATGTGGGCGGTGACATTGCCAACGCCCACATCTACGGCCTGGCCCAGTCACGCGTCAACATCGGCCACTACCAGCTGGCCCAGTACCACGGCCGGATTGCGGCGATCAACATGTGCGGCAGCATCAAGAAGATGGAGGCGGTGCCCTTCTTCTTCACCCTGCTCTTCGGCCACGGCATACGCTATGCGGGCTATGGCGCCTACAAGGACATCATCATCGATGGCAGCCTGGAGGACATGAAATTCGTTGCCTACTATGTGAATCATGCCGACACCGTCACCGCCGTCGCCTCCTGCAATCGCGATCCCGTCGTGGCCCAGTTCGCCGAGCTCATCTCACAGGGCAAGTGCCTAGGACGCAATCAAATCGAAAACGTGGCGAATCGCCAGGCCTGGACGGCCCAGCTGCTGCAGCCGTTGCCCAAGGTGCGCTAAACACCTCAGAGACCATCGACCCGATGCCAGCAACAAGAGATTCATGCTTATATATATATTTATATGTATATATACATACATATATATTTATGTATAGGTATGTATCCTAGTATTATTGTATGTGAACGGCCACAGCAGTTGACTCATGACTGTTCCTCAAATACGCCCGTATATATATATATATATATATGTATATTATGGCCCTGTATATGTATATATCTATATATATACATATAGACACTTATGTATATATATCCGTTATCATCCAAAATTGTGTCGTGGCTAAATTGAAAAAATAGTATGTATGTAAAATAAAATATTTTTTTTTTTTTTTTACCACAGCGTTTCTTTTTCTGATATTATAAGTAAAGCAACTAAATTTGTATTGAATATAAACTTAAATAAAGGAAAGCTCAAATCTATGCTGAATATATTATAATAATTTGTAGGCTTTTCTATGTGGGCTCTGAGTCAAGGTCTTAACTATCAGCTCACATGAAACCAATCGAGTTTTTGGATCTCAATTTTTACTCGTTCACTAAGTACAGAGAGTATATTAGTTTTATGCAATGTCTGTCTGTCGTTTCTCCCTGACTGTCGATTCGTTTGTCTATCTGTCTATCCGAATCAAATCGGAACAAACTATAGATATCTAGTATAATAGAAATATCTATGAGTTAAGCTGTATTAAATTCGGAACATATTCCAATTTTTCCGCTACACTTACTAAAAAAATGTGGAATATAACCTCGGAGCTAGTCAAAGACGAAACCCTAAGATCCATGAGATGCATCCACGTAGAGCTAAAGCTACAGTTTGGAGAGCGAGCGACTAGTTTTGAGTGCATCTATAGCTCTACGAACCAAATACTCTATCCACGCTCACTATATCTGGCAAGGTGTGGCAGCATCAACTCCAAATATTGATAAACAGACGCCTAAAATCTGTTTTGAACTATAAATTGGCCTTGATTTTAAGACTACTCAAATCTAAAATATTTTACAAGTCGTTCAAAATTCGAAATTGGCAACCAACTTTACTTTCAATGTTCGTAGCGCTTAGAAATATATAGTAATAAAAATAAATATATATATATATATCTAAAGAAATATATATATATATAAAGAGAGAGAGTGGGGGGAGCTTGGGCATGGCCCTAATGCTGGTACCCATGGAGTGTATGATGCGTAATTGGCTGGACGCGTGGCGATCCCTCAACAAAGATTGCGTCCAGGTAACCAAAACGGCGTCCAGATTGAAGAAGTTGGTGAGTGAAGTCATCAGATCATCAGTTAGTGTTAATATTGAAATTAAAAATGTTTACAGATCTGTTTAGCTGTCCAGCAAATATATTGCTACGAACTGATATTGTTAGAGCGTAAGATTCTGAACAATAAATTTATCAAATGTATCTCGGATGCTGGCGAGATGTCCAACAAGCGTCTGACTGGGAGCTGCAAACTGAGGAGCGAGCATCAGGCAATACTCGGCCAACTGGTTGGCCTTAAACTACAGTTGTCTGAGCGGAATAATACTCTCGTAAAGTTCAAGTTGGAGTTGCATTTCTTGCGTCAAAGGCTACGACAGCAGACATTTAAAACGAATCGGATGACGGCACGATTGAAACACAACAAATTACTAGCCGAAAAGCTTTTGGAACGCAACAGCAAATTGAACTCGCGGGTAAATATCAAATTTATCGATATATCGATATCCATGTAAATAGTCCATTCCCTTGCGATAGTCCCTGGAATTGTTGGAACTCTACAGAATGCGGGCTCTTATGTTTGTTTTTAAACTAATTGGAATGGCTCAGGAACTGATTGTTACCAAAACCAAGTCAAAGGCATATGAGGATGCCAGCGAGCACCTGAAATGGTAAATAGAACAAATATATATATATAAAACAATCCAACTACATAAATACATATTATTTTGTAGTAAAAACAGACAGTTGCAATTGCGTCAGAGAATACTTATTAAGAAGTTTACAAAGCGTACGTCTCAAGATAAAAGTCATACAGATACGGTAAATGGAGCCCGTAATATTTTTGATACGGGTCTTCATTATTTGGACTTTCTGTGGAATTGCGTGTCGAGTCTGGCTCAGTGCCCTAAAGTGCAGGGACCTGGGAGACGCTGTGAGTGGGCTCTTGTCTAGATATAAGCGACGTGTGTTCAATAAAATTTTTTTTATTAAAACAATATTTATAAGACTTCTGGTCCAGCTGCACAAAAAGAAACTTTTGAAATTCAATTTACCAGGGCTGCAACAGCAACATAAAGTAAATATCGTTGATAGCAGCGCTGTTAAGAAGCCGGCTATTCGGATTTAACAGTGTTGCTTGCTAACGATATTTCGATTTTCATTTATTTGCCGTATTTGTTGTTCTTTTTTCTGCGATTAATCGCCGACAATTTTTTTTGGACACACCAATAGCAGCTAGCACACACACACACACACACATACATGCATGCATACACATACACATACGGTCTCGCACACAAACACACACACACATAAAACGCCCAATAAATTACAGTTGCAGGCAGCGTACACATAAAAGTTTTATAACAAAAAAGCAAAATAAATAACATACAAATATATAAGCACACACATATATATAAATAAATATATATACATATAGAAGAAATTAGGGCCTATTAAAGCGCTTAAGTACAAGCAAACAAAAACATTCCAAAATAACAGAGTTACAACCTTGCTGCTGCTGCTCTCTTGCAGTGTAACCAAAGTGTAGAAAAATAAAACGAAAAAAAAAAAAATAAAACAATAAAAAAAAAACGCCGCCGCAACACATTTATCAATAATGAATTTCTTGGGCTTTGGCCAATCAGCCGAAATTGAAATTGTCTTCGATGGAGCGGAGAACAGGAAAACCGCCGAGGTCAAAGGCGAGGATGGCAAGGTGGAAAAGATGTTGCTCTACTACGATGGCGAAACCGTCTCCGGCAAGGTAAGCAGCAGCAGTGGCTGAGCCATAGGCACAGGCACAAACTGAGGCGCAGGCGGAGGCGGAAGCAGAAGCAGTCGCTGCAGACTATAGGCGGGCGAGTCTTGATTGTGGCGGCAGACACAGCGACCACTGTAAGCTGTAGGCTGTAGGCTGTAGGCGGTAGGCGTGACTTCCGTTCCGTTGCCGCCCATCGAGTCGGTTATCAGCAGCTGAAGCAGCTGCTGTGATTAAGCGAGGCAAATTGTAGCAAGTTATTTCGTGATATCCAAAATTGTATTGTTTAATTCTTGTTACTTATATATGTATTTTCCCTTTTACATTTAAGGTAAATGTGACACTGAAGAAGCCCGGCAGCAAACTGGAGCATCAGGGCATTAAGATCGAGTTTATTGGACAAATTGAACTGTTCTATGATCGGGGTAATCATCACGAGTTCAAGTGCCTTGCGAAGGCGTTAGCCCGCCCCGGCGATCTGATCCAGAACAACAGCTATCCCTTCGATTTTCCCAATGTGGAGAAACAGTTCGAGGTCTATGCCGGCTCCAATGTGCGCCTGCGCTACTTTCTGCGGGCGACAATTGTTCGAAGGATTAGCGATATTACGCGGGAGGTGGACATTGCGGTGCACACGCTCTGCAGCTATCCGGAAATGAACAATCCCATCAAAATGGAGGTTGGCATCGAGGACTGTCTGCACATTGAGTTCGAGTACAACAAGAGCAAATACCATCTGAAGGATACAATTATTGGGAAAATCTACTTTCTGCTCGTCCGGATCAAGATCAAGCACATGGAGATTGCGATCATCAAGAGAGAGACGACCGGTACGGGCCCCAACATCTTCAACGAGAACGAAACGATTGCCAAGTACGAGATCATGGATGGAGCGCCGGTGAAAGGCGAAAGCATACCCATACGAGTATTCCTGGCTGGCTATAATCTAACGCCAACCATGCGGGACATTAACAAGAAGTTCTCGGTCAAGTATTTTCTCAATCTGGTGCTGATGGACACCGAGGACCGGCGGTACTTCAAGCAGCAGGAGATAACGCTGTGGCGCAAGGCCGATATACCGCGCTACCATGTGACCCAGCAGCAGCATCAGCAGCAGTCGCACCATCAGCATCAGCACGTGCCCCTCCATGCGCCGCCGCATCTGGTGAGTGGGCCCGCTGCACCCACCGTCGCCCACTCGCTGATCAGCAGCAGCACGGACAGCGAGGGCGCGGCCATTGGCAGCGCGGGTGCCCAGGCGGAATCCAAAATGGGCCTGTTTACGCGGGAGAGCCCCAACCAGGAGTTCAGCCAACAGCAGCTCGACTCTCCGCTGCCCAATTCGCCGATGACGCCGAACAACGAGAGTCATGGGATTGGCTCAGCCGCTGCTGGCGAACGGGAGCGAGGGATGGGCGATGGCGCTGCGGCAGCCACAACAAGTGCCTCGCCAGTGGCCATGCTGTCCAGCACGCCGCCGCCGCTGCTTAACGCTGGCCCACCAACTGGCAGCTTAACTGACGTTGGCGTAGGAACTGGAACGATGGAGCCTGCACAGCATGCTGCGGGCGATGGCAATATGGACGAGGAACAGCCACTGCTGAATGAGCAAAACGTACAAGAAGAGCAACAACAACAGCAGCAGCAGCAGCAGCAGCCCCAGCCGCAACAACGGTTACAACTGGTGCCAGATGATGAACTAACGGACGTGGCGCTGCCCACGCCTCCAGCTGCAGCTGCAGCTGCGGCAACGGCCACGGCAACGGCCAAGAAGGTCAACGCACCTCCTCTGAGTGCGGATTGAATGCCAAACGGAATGCGTTTACGATTTCCGCAACAAGAACAACAACAACTCAATGGCTAGCGTTAGCTATAATATACATATATATATATATATCTATGCATATACATATATATGTATACATCTATTTTTTTAATACCTAATTTAAAGTTGTTAAAGGCAAAAATATTTTATTGAAGTTATGCGCGCAACTTAATATCCACTTTATCCACTAGCAAAAACACAAATACACACAAACACACCCACACACACACATATATATATATACACAGATGTACTTGATGCCCTATAAAAATTTCAATGTACACAGACGCTATTAATACACTTTCCTCTCGCACGCTCTTTAGGCTCGATCGATGTGCATTAGGCAGTCAGAGAAATCTTTGTATATTTGCAATACGAAATATTTATATAATGAAAAGCAAAAAGAAAAACATAAACAAATAACGAAACGAAACAAATAAGAAGAGAAATGTGAACATATATTTATAATTTTGTTGTGAAACTCAGCTGAGCCACGCCCACTACCACGCCCCATTTGAAGGCCCAATCAACACCAATTGTAACATCTCATTCCCTTTTGGAAAATTTGATTTTTCAATTAGCAAAAACCTGTTGAAAACAAAAACAAATGCTTTTTAAAAGTAAATTGAAATTAAATGAAAACAATGCGTAGGCATAACCTAAGTTTAATATACAGTTTAGAGAATATATATATATATATATATATTTATATATATTATATACATATGTATATACAAGTAAATATGTGTATATATATGCAGACAAAAGGCATGTTAAGTGCAGATATATTCTAATATTGTATCATGTATATAAACATATGTTTGCATGTATGTATGTTTATGTATGTGTACATAACATAATTCATTAAATATATACGTACATTTATTTATATATACATATGTATTATAATATATAAATATTAAAATTTATCAAATTAATAAAAACGAAAACGAAAAAAAAACTCGATTCTTAACCGTTCTTAAGCATGAAAACGAACGAAAAGCTTTAAAAAGTGGGCAGCCTAAAAAGAATGAGAGGGAGAGTGTTGGAAAGAGATATGCAGACTGGGAGAAGCGATCAGTCTATACAAAGTTAAGCAGCATCCATATGAAGAGATATTTCAGCTAGGATCAATTCCTTATATGTATAAAAGACAGAGTTTTGGCCTAAATAGGCTAACTAAGATCAGTCGAAACAGATGCATTACATAGAGTATACACATAATCTGTAAATAAAGACAATGCTGTATCTATATCTTTAAAGAGGTATATCTTGACTCAATAAATTCCCGCTGATTTAGTCCAGCCGTGCTTCAATCTAAGCTGCTGCAGTTAACTATATATCTAGCGCTCTATATGCTTCAGACTTCATTCAACCGCAAGATCCATTAGGTATCCAATGAGCTATATCCTTCATTCAACATATCCAACATCCATATCTTTCAAACTTCAATTGCATTTACATAAGTTTCTACAGCATAACATTTATTCTATAACTTTTAATGGTTTTAGTGTGTGTGTTTGATTAATGCGACAACAGGTTAATCTAATCCCAGGCCTCCTTCACTCGCAGATGCTGCAGACGCTCCTCGATGGTCACATGCGGCTTTAGTTTGCTGCGCGTTTGTTCGTCTGTCCACTTGGCCACCAGCTTTTCGCGCTTCTGCAGCTCCTTGGCGTGGCCCGACGATTGCTCCTTGAGAGTGCACAAAGTGTTTGGCATTAGTACTTAGCAAATATTAGATATAATATGTAGTACATACCAGGGTGAGGTAGGGATGTCGGAGCAGGAACATGATCTGTTCCTGTCTTTCGTATTCGCGGATCAGCGTATCCATTGAACGTTTGCTCACCGGCTTGACGAGGCGTCGCTTGCCACGAAATATGTGGCCGGGTACAGTTTTCTTAAAGAAATTGATTAACGTCAACTGCATATTGTGTGTTGTTAATTTATGAACAATAAAAAATGACTTCTTTTTAATGCACGTTCAATGTTGTTGCACAAGTCGCCGTGACAGCTGAGAGAGCTGTTATCGTTGAAGAATCCAAATATATCGATATGTACTCAGCACGCATGTCTCCAGCCATTGCTCGATAAATTGTTCTCAATTTTCAACCAGAGCAAATGAACCGATAGTATCGCGCTCAATTTTAAAATTTCATATCTCGTGGAAACAATTAACAAACTAAAAACGTGATATTTAATTTCAAAACATTTTTACAGACTGTAAATACAAAAGAAATATTCAGCTTATGCACTATGCTCGGAAATGGGATAGGGATTGGCATGCATTGTCTTGCCCTGATGCAGTGCACCCTCGACAAAATGCAATATCTCGAATCCCACTTCCACCATAATCAAAATAATGATCATCCATTCGAGCCGTATGTGATGTGCATCGTTTAGATTGTGGGAGACCAGTTCGGCCAGCTCGACACAGTGGTTGATCTTCTCGTTCATCACCTTGGTGCGCCGTGTGATGCTAAAATAAGAGCACACCTGCAGATAGAGCCCCTCCAGCTCCTCGCGATCCCAGTAGAAATCCGGCGCATCGAGCAGGTCCGAGGACAGATTAATGGAATGCCGCAGTGCAAATAATTCACCAGTTTTCCGCAGCATCGAGGCACGTGATATACGCAGCCGTCGGCCACGTTTCAGATCCTCTGTCAGATACTCCATCGAGTCAATGTATCGATCCAGAGTCGTCTCCCAAATGCCCAACTTAATCGACTGGGCAATCGCATTTGAGAATGTGTATTTATAGAGGAAATTGTCACTATCCTGCGTCACATAGAACTTGCCGTTCTGGAAGAAGGCACGCGATGCCACATTCATATCGCTGCACTCGGCCACCAGGTCGCCCTCAACATCAACTGCCGTCGATGCGATGTAGGTGTAGGGCATGACCTCGCTCTCTCCATGGACCAGGGTGCTCACGTACGATTCTCGCTCGAAGTTGCGCAGGAAGCTGAGCACATTGTTCGTTTCGATGTCGTTGCAATTCCAGAACACCACTGATCCCTCGCGAAAGAAGAAGATCTCACGTGGACGCGATCCCGTTTGGTATTTGGCCGTAACATAGAGCACATTCTGCTCGACGCCCAGATTGTCGGTGGAGAAGAATCGTTTGGTTTCATATAGATTCTGTTGCTTGAGCGCCTCATGCAGCTCCTCCAAATTGTATTCATCGGCTGTCGTGTAGCCACGTGTCTTGAGGAACCCCAGGGCAGATAGCTCGTCGATGGCCAAACGTTTCTTGCGCAACGCACGCGATCGGCTGGGCGAGAGGCCCGTTTCCAATGGCTCATCCACCTGTGGCAAGGTCTTGACACCACCAGCGATTCCACTTCTGGCCGTCTTGGCCGGCGCACCAGATACATCGGCGGCGTCTCCGGGAGCTGTTATGCTGCTGGCCATGTGTCTGTAGATTCTAGGCCGGCTTAGGCTGGCGCTGTTCAACAGCTTGTATGTGTGCACTTTGGTCATGGCATTCCACAGAAGCGTCGCCTCGGCGGCACAGCGTCTATATATCATATTAGTTATTCTTTTTACTTAGTTCTTAATTTTACAAGAGTAAAAACACTTGGTAATTGCCATAATAGTTGGCTCGATATGTTTTGGTATTTATTATCGAATTGCTTGAGCTGGTTCGCAACTAACTGAATGAACTATAATTCTTGTCCAGTGAACCGCGCTCATATTTATTAAATTTCTTTACATGGTTTTGTTTGTTTTTTTATATACTCATTTGAAAATTTTTAGTTGTCTAAACTTAGTGCTAAGTTAGTTAGTTTTCATTATTTTATACAATTTCAGCAATCGGTATATCTGGCAAAATAAATCGATTGCTCTCTGACAAAAAAAATTAACGATAACAGACGTTTGCTCTATCGATATTGTGTCAACAACAAACTAGTGATGTAAATTTGAGTAAAAACATCGATGTCGATGCCCATAGATGTTTTCGTTGTCAAGCATCGATGTTTGGTTTATACATCGGGTCAAAACTTCGATGCATCGATGTATTTTCCCATTCTATTAAGAAACGTTTTTTTCGGGTTTTAAAGCTTCTTCATAGGTGCTTTCATAGCGTTATTATTTCACTTAAATTATTTTTAACTTAAAAATGAAAAACTTATAGCAATCTTTTCATATTCATGAGACTTATCTTATCTTAAAAATTATTAAACAACAAACAAAAAAAAAAAAAAATAATACGTATGCTTTCATAGCAGTTAATTAAAAATTATTAAACAAAAAAAAAAAAAAAAAAACGTATGCTTTCATAGCAGTTTTTTTATCTTTCAATGTTACTTATAAACTACATATTAAAAAGAAACAATTAAAAAAAATATTTTTTGTCAATGCTTTGCAGTAACAAAATACGACTTAGTCGCTCAGGTGTCATTCTGTTTCTTTTACGGCACAAAATATTTGAAGCCGCTGAGAAAACCCGTTCAGAGGGAACGGATGATCCCATCACCGGCAAAAATTGCATAGCAATTTTGTACAAATTCGGATATGTACATTTCATGCTTTCCCAAACAGTTATTGGATTACTTTCGAAGGAAGTAAGCGGTATTCGTAGATAAGAGCTTATTTCTACGTCCATATCCACATTCGGGTTGTGACACTGCGCGAGCTGGTGATGGTGGTTCCAAAAAGAATCCGAGTTCCCTGTTGTCGGTGGTATGACCTCTTTGCTTTCATTTTCTTTAAACATAGATTTAATTTTCATCAGTGCATTGGCACATGCAACTGGATCTTTAAAATGTAATTTTTTAAATCTAGTATCAAGCAACGTGGCCATTGCTAGAATCGATACCTAAAACAGTACATTACAAATATATATTTAACGAAACTACCAATTAAGAGTATTTGAAATATACCTGCTCAATCGATCCCATTCGCCTTTCTATTTCGAGAAGCAGGAACTCCTTCATATCCTTCGCTTCTTGTGTGTTGTCACTTAATTTTTCTAATTTGTCTTTGATGATGCTGACAATGGGTATGACCGTACTGGCCGTACAATATTTGTCTCCGCTGACAATTTTCGTTGCTTCCTCAAGGGGGCGTAGCATTGTAAGCACATTGTTTAACAGCTCAAATTCCTTTCCGGTAAGCAACATTTGGTCATTTGGAATACTCAGTAAAATGTCGTTCACTTGCGTTTTGACCTCCAAAAAGCGCTCTATCATATAATATGTACTGTTCCATCTCGTTGGAACATCCTGAATAAGTACTTTATCTGTTGCTTTCCTTAAATGGTCGCTGGCCACACCACTATGGTTAAAAAAAGCAACGATTGATTTAGTTTTGGCAATACATCCATTTACGGATTCCCTTTGGATGGCCGAGCGAGCAATAAGATTAATCGTGTGCGCAAAGCAGGGCAGGTGAATTTTGGGCCCAAACGTTATCTCAGCAGCTTTTTTAATATTTGTACCATTGTCTGTGACAATAGCTGTTACTTGCTTTTTTGTCAATGTTCCAATCTGAGCAACAGATTTCCAGCATTTCGCTCAGATATGGTCCTGTGTGACGCTCGCTTAACTGCATAGCTCCAATTGTCAATGAAGACATTTCCTGCTCCAAGAGAAAATGAGCAGTGATCCCTAAATAGCTGCGCATTGACATTTGGTCACTCCATATGTCCATTGTTAAGGATATGCTCTTTCCAGTCAGCCTTGTTCTCCACAGATCTTTCATTTGACTGTACTTCTCATCGAGCCATTTGGTTACTTTATAACGCGAAGGAATTTCATAACGAGGTGCGACAGTATTCATCAAATAAATGAATCCAGCATTTTCAACAATTGAAAACGGCTGAATGTCCTTTGCGATCATGTAAACAATTGCATCATTTATTTTTTTTGTTTTTTGTCCTTCTCCTCCAAAATCCGTGATATTTTGGAAGCTTGCAGCTATTGAAGCTTGTCGTGGCGTCCCACTGTTAGACACAGGTGTCTGGTCTTCTTCCCTTATTTTATGCACATTGCGTAGATGATCTTTCATATTCGTAGTGTTCCCTGCAGTTTTGATTGTTTTGCCGCAAATATTACATTTCGCACTATTGCCATCAATTTTGGCGAAATGCTTCCAGCAAAAACTCGTCTTTGTTGTTATTCTAAAACAATTGATTTTGTCGTATAAATATATGTACATATGTACATACATAAATAAATACATATAAGTAATGTTACTATATTTACTTACTTCGGCATTGCAATATTTGCTGCTTAAGTTTGTATAACTGCACTTTCAGGCAACACACGACAATATACGCAAAATATGTATAAAATCAAACCAGCGACGTTTTGGAAAACATCGATGCATCGCTTAAAAACATCGGTGCATCGCTTAACATCGGTATCAATAAAAACATCGGAAAACATCGGTAAACATCGCCAAAAAAACATCGATTGTCGATGCATCGATGTTTTTTCACATCACTACAACAAACGGTACGACAAACTGTGCAGTGTCTATGGCGGCAACGCATAAAATAAAATGGAAAACGCACTGTGTACCAATATAAAGAAGCTGTACGACAATGGACTATATGAATGCGTTATACCAACGGTAAGTCGATCCATTTGCAATTCCGTGGACACGCAGCTTTCTTGGCAGACATGCAGCATCCAAGTCCTTAATCAAGGAGACAATTTTAAATGCCTGCTCACATACACACTGACACACACACACATATATATATATAGCCATTCAGTTACTAATGCAAAGATAATTGCAGGCCAGCCTTTTGTGCACACTACTGAAAAATGATCGAAATGTGGCTACGCTGGAGATGGAATACCAGGCTATGATGTACCTCAGCAATGCCAACTACAAGGAGCACAATTATCGCACAGCCTGCAGTCAGCTGGAGGCCGTTGTCCTGCAGCGCAAGACAATGCTGAGATTCAAGAGTAGCTACCTGACGGCCATTGAGAGTTCGTATCCACAGTTCCAGGATGCGGAGCTGCGCTACAAGATCGCCATCTGTTATCGCGAGATGGGCGAATATAATATGGCAATTAACACACTACAGGCCGTAAAGGCGCGCACACCGCGACTTAACATGTTGCTCGCCCGGCTGCTGCATCATCATGGACGCGGCGTCGGCAAGAAGGAGAAGACGCTCGCCTACAAAGATGTGCTGCGCGAGTGTCCCATGTCTCTCACCTCCATTGAGGCGCTGCTCGAGCTGGGTGTCGAGGGTACTGAGGTGCATTCCATGGTGGTGAATGGTGCGTATTCTCGATGAGATGTGATTCAGATCAGTTGCTTTTCTTTTGTTCCAGTGAAAGGAACGTTTATCATTCATTCCAACTAAGTTGATTCACTTAAGTTGATTCACTAGTTGATTCAGTAGTTGATTCACATTTAAACGTTGTAGTTGTACTTTTGGCTCTGTTGAAGGCTCATATGAACTAGTTCGGCTTGCAGTAAAAGCTTTTCTTGATTTGAGCAGATATATTTCAATCTTAAACGAAAATCATTCATTTCATTTCATTTAAACCAGTCCATCTTTATATATAGTCGTACTGCTCCAAGTATTAATGTAGGATTTGTATTATATATGGTACAGTCCAAAGTTCAAGTGAACTAGTTTGGCTTATAATAAAAGAAACCTTACTTAAGTCTTAAACTAGCCCCAATTTAAAGTTCATTCGAACTGGTTTATCTCTATGTATAGACTTTCTGCATCTTGCTTTGTGCTTTTTTCTCTACATATAAAATATATAATAATATTAGCTAGGTCGCAGTTGTCGTCAATTTTAATCTTAAACAAAATTCTTAGTTGGTACTCTTACAAATTATGTTTAGCTCCTGTTGAAGTTCATATGAACTAGTTCGCTTCAAAATCATTGCTTGTTATAATTCGGAATGAACTGAAGTTTCTTTTTGGATCGTTTCTCTTCTCCAGCCGCTGCCTTACCAAAGAACATCGAATGGCTGAGCAGCTGGATCAAAGGACACGCCCAGATGTACGGCTGCAAGCACCGAGAGGCGTCACAAACGTTCCAGCAGCTGAACGAGACAAAACAACTCCACCAGAATGAGCATATCCTGACGAAGATTGGCAACTGTCTGTATTACGACGGCAACTATCTGCACGCTGAGCAGTATTTGAGTCTGGCCATGATGCAGAATCCGTATAATATAAATGCCCTCAGCTCGCTGGCCGTTGTGTACGATCGCAACAAGAAGAAGCTGGAGCGTAGCAATCTGATAGCCCCGCTCGAGATGCGACGCACCCGAGAGTTTCGATCCGCGCACTGGTTCCTGCACGCACAGTTGACCTACTCGAATAGCAAATACGAACGTGCTCTATGCTTCACGGAGCGCGCACTGGACATGGACGAGCGAAACATCGAGGCGCTGCTGCTGCGTGCCGGACTCTATTTCATGATGAAGCGCCAGCGAGATGCTGTCAATGTGTTCCAGAGTATCCAATGCCTGGCACCGTATCGCTTCGAGGTGTATAAAGGCCTGGTCGCCTGCTATGTGCGTATGAATTGCATTAAGGAGGCCCAAGCCACCTGCACCGTGGCAGTGCGACAGTTCCCAACATCCGCGCGCAGCTTCACCATGTTTGCCGGCACCCTGTTCCGCCTGGCTAATCCGAATGCCGTGCGCAGTGCCAAACGGTTTGTGGAGAAGGGCTTGCAGATCGATGAGCGCTATGCGCCGGGCATTGCACTGTTAGCGACCATTTACCAAGGTGAGGGGGATATTAAGAAGGCGATTGCGTTGCTCAAGAAACAGGTGGAGTATCGACCAGATGCCATGCTCTTTGCCATGCTGGGCGAGATGCTAAGCAAGGAGAAAGATCTGGATGCTGCTCTACAATACTTTACGCTTTCATTAAGGTATGATCTCTGTCTCCTTCTTTTTCTCATTCTCGCTGTCTCGCTTTACTCATAAGGTGAACTTTTACAGATTGGATTCCACCTATCAGCGTGCCTTGGATGGCATTAATGCACTGCCCAAAGCAGCACGCATGGCCAGCAGCAACAAAGCCAGCGACAAGGCTAGCGAATCAAATGCAGCAGCAGGCTCTAATTGCACTGCAGCAGCTGCTGCCGCTACTGGTGCTGCCGCTACTGGTGCTGCTGCTACTGGTGCTGCCGCTACTGGGGCTGGCGCTGCGGCCTGCAGCGCGCCGAATTTACATCGAACCTGTAATAGAACCAATCACGATTGGCTGCTGGACTATGATGAGGCAGAGTCATTGGAATTGTCCTCACCAGCTGGGCCAGCAGAGGATGCGGAATCCGATACATTCTCGGAGCCCTTTTGGCAGGCCGTCGATAGCGAATTGACAAATTAATTGGAATTGAGGGCGAACTACAGACGTTTTGTCTAGATTCTGAATTCCATCAAGTATAGGTTTAGTTATTTAATTTGAATGTTATTTGAAGAAGCAAAATCTATTTATGAACGATAAAATATTAGTAATTTTTTTAAATGCTTTTGTTTTGTACCACAAAAAACGTTTTGTTTGCACAACTGTGTGGGATTTTTTTAGCGTGTATGTGTTTGTTGTTGTTTTTATACCTTGCTCGTAGCTTATAGGCAAGTTTTGTTCGTTGCTAGAACAAGCCCCAGTGGCCTAATGGATAAGGCATCGGCCTCCTAAGCCGGGGATTGTGGGTTCGAGTCCCATCTGGGGTAAAGTTGTAGTAATCTTTTTTTTTTATTTCATTCAATTATATTTTTTTTCATTGTACAATGACAATAACTGATACTACATGAAACTAGTTATTTAATAAATTAATATAATACAGTTTTTGGATTTACTAGGATATCACAGTCTGTTAAGTGTGGAGCAGCGCTGTTAAGTTGCACAGCATAGAGAAGTACTATCTTTTAACAGTGAGCTTGTGCTGTATGTTAAAATTGTGAGCCTGTTTGTCTAACAGCAGTCAGTGGAGCAATACTGTGGAGCAATTCTGTAGAGCTTCACAGCTTTTGCTGTATATTTAACATGTTGAGCCAGCTGACACATCAGCTGCTCGTCTAGTTGCTTGGTATTTCTTTTTGGTATTTCTATATCTAACAGTGTCTGGTCGCACAGCGTATGCGCTCGCGCGCCAAAACATCAGTTGTTTATCAATCGCGTGCGTTGCTGGATGTGCGTGTCCGTTGCTCGCAGATTAACGATCGACATCTTCTGTTAGTTTTTTCGTTTTTTTTTGTTTGTTGATTCTTTTTTTTTTATTGTTGATGATATTGTTGTTGTTGTGAACGATAATTAATAAATTGAAACAGTTAAAACAATAAGAGTGCGAGGGGAACGAATTGAAAATTCCTCGCGCCTTATGCAAATTGAAATTAATCAATTTAAAAGTTGCGAATTCTTAAAAAAGCAAAAGTGAGAGCAAAAACAATAAAACCACAAATAAAATTGGCATAAATAAATATTAAATGAAGTTTAATTTAAATTTGTGTTTTGACATTCTGTGAGTTTGGAGCTAGCAGCGTTTGATAAAGGTGAGTCTAACTGTAAATTATAAGTTTATGATCGAAGATGGCTGGCGATGCTTTCAAAATGGCAAATCAGTACCGTTATGTGTTACATATTGTGTTGCCGTTTCGCGAAACATAAAGAGAGCGTTTAAATGTACCGTTACAATACGAAAAACATTATTTGATTTGGATTTGAAAAATGCAAATCGAAACTGCGATTCAAGCCGAATTGTTTGTTTGCCCTTTTTTTTTGTCGTTGTTGTTGCTGTTGCCCACTCGATAAGCGACATCTGTGCGAAAACACTTGGAACACGTGTAGCAGCAGAAGATGTTGTCAGCAAACAAAAAACAAAAAAAAAAAAAAAAAAAACATAAATATTTCTTATATTTACTGTGTTTACAATAGGTAATCGGGTATATTGGGTAGAAGAGCTTTATTAATTTTTTATAGTCGAAAGTTGCTAAGAGTGTTGAGTAAAGTACTGTAGATCGTTGTTGATTTAATAATAATATTTCACAGTCGATGGGCTATAGGTCAAAGAGTTTTTTAACTGTAAAATATACATAAATAGAATACAGTAGAATCCCAATAAATCGAAATGGCAGGACTCGACTGGAGACTCGACTGTATACAGACTATATACAAAAATAAACGTTCCATTCCACTCAATTATAAATTGATTCAAAATATAGGTTTTTTCTTAAAATGTTTAATATTGTCAAAGAGCATTGCGCAGTCGGTGTTTCCCCGGTGTTTGCAATGTTCTCTGGGCATCTGGTTCGTCACGAACATCGCGATCTGCGCAGCTAAAGATACAACGGCCTTTGTGTGCCTTATCTGTAGGTCAGTCGGCGTAGCATATCGAAAAGCCGTATTTATCTCTTGGTATTGGATTATCTATCAAGCTATAGTCAGAGCATAAAGCACTTCATCGTTTAAAAAATTTTAAACTTTTTCTTTTTAATGTTACTAAAATATGTAGCAATTTTTAAAAAATTTTGTTCTTGAGAGAGATTTCACCGTATTTTCTTCCACAGACTTTTGTCTACTGCTTCTCCCAACAAAAATTTTCCTAGAAAATACCCGAAAAAAAAAAGAAAAACAGTTGACATAATTTTGTAAAAGTGCTATAAAGCATAAATGCAAATTTAGCTTGAAAATTTACCGTTAAAGCTCACTAACTAAAAAAAAGGCAAGAAAATACAGCAGAGTTCATTAATATAGAATCGAACTTATATATGTATGTATGTATGTATATGTGCATATATATACTCATATATAGATCTACAGCTGCGCCTGATTAAAAACTACTTCAACGGTACACGCAGCTAATTAAAAAAGAATAGAAAAACGGCAATCAGTAAATGATACAAGCAAAAACAACAACAGCCGCAGCAGCAGCCACAACAAAACCAATCAAAGCAAAACAAAAGCAAATGTTGACAGGATACAGTTGCATGCGCACGAGCGAGATAGCAAGCGAAAAGAATAATAATAATCAAAAAGTAATGCATACAATTTGCAAGGCTCAGCAAGCTAAAACAGAAGAAGATGTGCAGAGAGATAGTGAGTGCGAGAGGGAGCGGGAGTGGGAGTGTGGTGTGAGAGAGCGGGCTAACGGGATGCGGGTGTGCGTGCGAGTGTCAACAAACATTTGACAGCTGTTTACGCCTGTTGGACGCTGCCGCCGTCTCAATTCGCGAGAGCCAAGGACCGGGCCGAGGCGTCGCGCCGCAGCTAGCGTGAGAGCGTAATTGGGCACAGCGCAGTGTGGCAATTCTGTTAAAATTTCCTTTTGAGAACGGAACGAATGCAGCTGATAAGCAAAGGCCCGCGGGCTACACATTCACAGCGGCTGATAAATACACACACACACACACACAGTTGTAGCTCTGTTACAATAGTATGCTCACTGGCTGCCATATGTTTTGCTTGATTTGTAACGCATGCGCCTTGCATTGCCATGCATCGCCCTCCCCCTTTCTTCTTTCCCAAACAACAACACAGATAGCATTTTATGGATTACATTAATATTCGACAAGAAGCACAAAGTCCATTGCACAGTGGCATATACTCACATACAGACATACATATGTACACTGTAACTGCTGCAAGTGGAGCTTACAGAAACCAAAGCTAAAGTGCGATAATGGGAAAATATAGTTATAATAATAATTTATAGAGAAAAAGCAAATTTTGATTTATATATATTATAATGATCATTCTGATCCCAAGTTTATTTTTCTCACATATGTATATCTTTAAATTTGCAATTTACAACTTAAAGTTCAGTTCAATCAATGCTCGTCCCACTGTGTCAGGCGCAAACTATTTGGGCATATCTGTTGTTGTTGTTGTTGTTGTGCGCTTCAATTTGGTGGTTTCAAGTGCGGCAGGACTTGCGCGGAAGCTGAAGTATGCCTCTTTATATTCTCTATATGCGAGTGCCGGCTCACGAAGCGTCAATGTCCGAAGGCCATTGGCCGAAGTCGAAGCCCAAGCCCAAGCCCAAGCCGAAGCCGAGCGCGAGCAGAGGCCAACCCTTGTGGAGCTCTGCCAAAAGAGAGATCTGGGAGAGTTGACGTCGCTGTCTCTGTTGCTGTTGCCGTTGCCGTCGCAGTTACAGTTCGTCCTGGGCCAGCTTTAGGATTTGTCGACGTCGCTGGCAATTGGCGCAGTTTTCGCGATTTGTCTGCGGCTTTGCACGGACGTCGCCAGCGTCAACGTCAGCGTCGCGGGTCGTGGACGACGTTGCCGTTACTTTAACCGTTTCTTCTTGTTGTTGTTGTTACGTTTTTGGCATTTTGTTTTTGTTTTTTCTGTTTTTGTATTTCGGCTGTGGTTTTGTTTGATTGTTTTTTTTTTAGTTAGGCGAATCAAACGAAATTTTAGCACATTTACCGTTATAATAACGTGCTTCCTTGTCGATAGAGGTCTGTTATTGTGTGTGAGTGTTTGTCGTGTTTTTTTTTTCTGCTCTTGTCGGTGTGTTTGGGCTGTGTGTTTTTTTTCCATCAGTTTTCGCGATTTTTCGTCGTCTGCGTCGCGTGCAACAAAGTAAGCGCAGAATTTAACGTAATTCCTTTTCTTTTTTTTTTTTATATATGTATATATTTTTTATATTCGATAGTTGTTGCTGTTATAGGGTGGCAACCATCGATTTGCGTGTCGCGCAGTCAAACAAATCAAATGGAAAACGCGATTATGCTTAAAACAATACAATTGCCAATAGTTTCTTGTATTTTTCTTCCTTTTGGCTACCAAAATTATTATTATTATATTGGCCCATTATCCGTTTGCCTGGCCACCCAATAACTGTCTAGCTACGTGTATGTGTGTGTATACACCTCTGTCTCTCTCTGTGTGTGTGCTGTGGAATGTGCCGCAGTAAGAGCATGGGCAATAGGCTGCAGAAACCCACTTACTTATGCATCTATTATAGCTGCACTTGCACAGACACGCACACACACATAAACAGTTGGGCATAGAAGTCTACACCCCACTAGAGTTAAAGCATATTCAAAACGATAAGTTTTTAGTTTCAAAGTTTAAGCCATTCAAGAAAAGTTTAATTTTTTTTAAAGGTATTGTTATTAGATTCTATTTTTTCTGTAGTTATTATTTTTAATATATGTATAATTATATCATAATTTTGCAATATATAGTCTACTCATAATGTATGCGTGAGCAGAAACTTTTCTCTTAAATGAAACTGTAATGTATTTATACTCTGTCCATTAGGAATGGGAAATCAGGGTATAACGGTTCAATGTATGTGACAGGCGAAAGGAGTCGTGGCAGACCCCATAAAGTATGTATATTCTTGATTAGGGCGACAAGTTGAGTCCATTTAGTCCGTCTGTCAGAAGATACATATAACAACTAGATCGAGTTTGTTTCTAAAAATTTATAGCTCCTGTTTTTTGTTACATATTGAAAATCAATTATAATATTATCCTAGAGCTAGAGTACTTTAGATCTATGCTCTGCAAATTTCAAATAGAGATTTGTGTGCATTTTAGAGAACTCGGATTATTTTTTAAATCATACCTGATTTTTTCTCTATTATTGCCTTGCATTTTTTTTTCTTTCGCTGTAAAGATATATATTTTTGTATAAATTAGTTTAGCTACAATGACTATACTTTAGCCGACTTCGAAACGTGTTTAAACAAATGCAATATATTTTATTATATATTCTGCATATTCATGCTTATAAATCATTAATAATCTAATAAAAATATATACATTTAAATATATAAATTTGCTCTACATAATTAAAAAGCTCCATTAGCTCTGATAAGAATTTAAATTTAATTACAACTACATATATGATATATATGTTTGCGATTTGTGTCAAGTGCTAAAGATATTCATTTTACAACATAACAGGAAAAAGCCCCTAGCTTTAACTATGAGTCCATATACATAGCAGAATGGGGATAAGGTGATTGGGCGTTACTTGCGCAGGAATAAACTTTGATGAGTCATGAGCCTAGCATGTGCACTAGGAAATATTATGGTATAGTTATTGTTGTCAAAAGGCCAGATGGGCAGATTGAGTCATGTCAGCTGTTCAGGCGGCGACCTTGATGACCGCATGCGCAGGTAAATACACATACCCACATACACATACAGTCAAATCAAGGACCAAGCCAAAGGTCAAGCATTAATGCTTATGCAGGGTCATTCATTAACACCCACCCGTGCGTGTTGACCCTGCCCAGTGCAGTCTACCTAAGCAGCAGCCTAAAACGCATCAATCGACCTTTGTCACGCCGCTTCACGGGAATCGCTTTGTCAGCTTGAGGTTAGGTTCACACTTAGGATGGGCCACTGAATGAATTTTGCGTAAAAGATAACAACAAAAAAATCAAATGGAAATTGGTTCCAGAAACACTCAAGGCCCACGACACTCGTAGGGAAAAAAGGTGTTAATTGGGCTTGGCTGAGTTTGATTTTCGAAAAGTTAGGTTGGGCCTTGAAGTAAAAACTGGAAGCTGAGTTATTATTGATGAATGGATATTTATAGATAGACTTCTGATCTGAAATTACGGCTTAGTTTAGTCTGAAATTTGATAAGATATTACGATATTTTTCTTTCTTATTCAATATTGGGTTTTTAATGACAGAGAAACTTTCTTAGAAGATTCTTTGGAATTTGAGGTTAGGTTAGCTCTATACTTTAGACAAAGCTCTCTTTCAAAAACTTAAAAAGAGTATGGGACTTAAACTGAAATTAATATTTCATCTTAAAGCTAGAAAAGAGCATTGAGCTAATAGCTGTTCTTTTCTATGATCTTAGTTCTCAGGTTATTTTCTTTCTTGTAGATCATTCCTGGAAGTCAAGGATTTGTTAGTTGGTTCTTCTTGCTGTTCTTTATTGCTTGATTTTTTTTCGCATAGATTTGTCGCTTTATCGCAAAATGTTTTTGATGTTTTTGTTGTTTGTTGTGCTTTGCGCGTGTTTGCTGTGCTTTTTGCCATTTCCGCTTGTCAAACATTTGTCGGCTTTTAGCTTATTGCTAAAACATTGTGTGTGTGTGTGTGTGTTTGTGTGCTTGATTGCAAAACAAGCCTACACGAAGCTGACGAGTTGTATCTGTTGTACTCGCACTCATGCATCTGTACATCTGTATTTGGTACATGAGTAGTCTGTCTGTGTGTCTGTCCATCTATCTGTCTATTCAACTCAAGCCATCTCGCTCACCCTTTCTCTCTCTCCCTGGTGTATTCATAATGAATCGCATTTGTAGTTTTTCGCGCATTTCATCGCATATTTACGTAGGCCATTCGAGCCACGTTAACGCCTATATTTATTGACTTATAAATATAAATATTCTATATACATATGTATGTATATATATACATATAAAGGTATAAAGAACATTATTTACCGTTTTAATGCTTATTCGCGTGCTGAAATGGTTGTTTTATGAGGTTGATTAATGTATTATATATTGTTTTGTTGTCCATAAGGAAGTTTTTTTTGTAGTAATCAATTCTTTGAGACAAGAAATATATTTTAAAGTACTACTTACAAATACTTAAGTACATATTTCTCTTAAGTTTATAACTAATCTTTTGGGGGATTCCAAATCAGAGAAAAACGTATATATTTAAAAGTTTTCCAACACTACTTGTATCCTCTACAGCTATAGCTTAAACCTATTTGAAAGCCTTCCAACCACGTTGATCTGGTATACTGGCGTGAGCGAGTAGTATGCAGTCGGTGTTGCTCGTTAGCAAATTTTCTTACTTCACTTACAATCCAGATGATGTCACATTACAGTGTTTACCTTTAGCTCTATATTTATTCGAGCTTGTAACATAATGCTAATGTGTTTCTTCTCCTTCTTCTGTCTTCTAGGTTCCATTAAAAAAACAAATAAAAATTATTAACGTTTAGTAGACACGCAACATCAGTTCGGTAAGTTAATTTAACTATTTATGTAATGTAACTAGTATGTAATGCTCTACTATAATATCTAGGGAGAATAATAAGAATAGAAAGAACCAGAATATTTATAGGAACTTAAATTCGTAGTAAAGTAGTAATAGGCTAAATTCAATTTGAGCTTATGTTGAGCTAAAGACCGAATTTCATATGTAATTATATAGAGCAAGCTCTACGTTGATAAAACTGTAAAACATTGCGATAGATACTCTCGGTATAGCTATATGATATAGTCTTCAGATGATCTTAAGACTCTTCTATTAAAGTATGTAGTTCTTAACGGATCATCTATGGATAGTTTCCAGAGAAAACCCTAACCATCAACCAATTGGTTTTATCAAATGGGCTATGCGTAATTCTTATCAAATTTCCCGTTGACAAATTCTTTACACTTTCTCAACATGTTGTTCCATTCAGATTTGGCTTATCGGGCATTACGTGGCGCCAACAATTTGCAACCCACAAATACAAGCAGTCATTCTCACCATATTACTATATAGACGCCTCTGAACTAATCATTGGTTCCACGAATGCGGATCTGAATCACAGGCAACGCGCCTTTTGGGCGTCCGATATCTATATACCGAAAAAAACATTTCGTCATGTCACATCGCGCAGATGTCCGCAAATAAGCAACACTCACAGCTCTATATATATATATAGATATATATATATACACAGATGTACATATGGTAGAGTCTCGCATGTCGTAGGTCAAGAATTTCAAATGGCTTATGGGCCGTTTGCCAAAAGAAAAAGAAATACAAATGAAAAAGTGACGCACAGTTTGTCGCATAATATTTTGATTGCATTCGCGTTGCTAGCTAATTTGGTTGAACTTTACTGCTATACCCTGTAATAGAGGGTATTGTCGCTTTGATAGGTAATTTGTAAATGTTAACTATAGATGAGAAAAATATAAGTATAGCAAACAATGAAAATTTATAAAATTGTTCGAGAAAAACATCTAATGGGCTTTCTATATTTAGCCTATGTTTGAGTGGAGGCATATATAGAGGTATATACATATTCTTAATCACGATGACTCGCTGAGACGCTCTAGTATGTCCATCTGTCGCAGCTTATAAACGGAACGATCTATCTACACTACCCCCAACTAGAGGACACTCATATCTTAAATAAGTAAATATTGATTATATACATATACAATATATTCTTATACATAACGAAGAACTGAGTCGATATATTAATGTCGGTTATTATAGACTCTCTATTAAAGACTCTTAGTTCCATTAGCTATAAATTCATACACACATTCACATCACAGAGTAATCTTGGACACATTTGTATATTGTATCTGAGTAACGATCTCGAATCTCCTTTACTCATGCATCCATTATCCATTAATCACTGTGCAAGGTATCAGCTAGTCATGCACACCCCACTCGATAAATTTGTTCGTATTTGGATTCGTTTTTCAATCAGTCAATTGTGGGTTTCGATTTCGTTTCCGTTTTCCATGCATAGTCGCAGTCGCTTATCAAACCGCTCCGATTGTCATTCAAACGAGGCAGCACCAAAAAAAATAAAATAAAATAAAAACAAAAAATGACATATATCAAAATATAAAAAAAAAGGGGGGGAAAAAAAACTAAAGACAAATTGGTCAAACGTGGCTACAAATTAATTCATAGATAGCAACTGACGCCAAAGGTGAGCAGCGCACAATACGCGACGATCCGAAGCGATCTAACCAAGTGATCCATCGATCGATCGATTGGGCAATCCGGGGCCCGGGCAGCGATTTGTTGTCGTTTGTCATTAATCGAGCCATCGCATGTATTTCTGGCCATATTTCAATATTTATTAATATCTATTGCACGATTCGACAGCTCCGACCAAATGGACAAACGACGTCAGTTCGACATGTTGCCCATTTACCTGGACAGTTCATTTATGGGCTTGACGTACCCAAAATTCCCTCCTCTCTCTGAGTGTGTGTGGGTCAAGTGAGTGCCTAAAGGTTGTAATAGCCGCACAGAATTGCTTCAAGATTTACCAAATTGGATAAACACTTGTCACAATTCCACGGAACTTGAGTTTATTGATGATCTTCGTTAATAGATTTCCACATGATTAAGAAAATTGAGAGTGAATGATTATAGGCAAAGGAAAATGAAAGCGAAAACAGAGAATATGGTTGTTATGGTAGTTAAGCGAGTTGTTAAAATGAGTTTTGAGTGAATCTCGAATATTAGACTTAAAGCACAAACCTATAGCTAAAGGTAGGCCAAGGGCTTAAACTAGCTGCATATGGAGTCTTTGAAAGCTCTTTATTTATGCCTCGTATTGCTTCTTTTCCTATGCCCACTTACTACTTATGATATGATCTTTCATACTTTTTGTATCTAAAGGTGATCTTTAAGCTGATCTCCATGAAGATATCTACAGCTGATGCTGGAGTTATTATATAAGAAAGGTAGGTCTATAAAGCAGTTATCGTTTTTTGGCAACAGCTCACTGAAACTGTCGAAGGTTAAGGTTATGTTTTTATTTGTTTCCCAATCAGTCCCTCATAAATAAATTCTATCAGACATACCCAAAGAGTAGAAAATCTGCTGATCATATAACATTTCATGCACTGATCTGCAACACTGCAAAGAAAAGGATCAGAAATAAGCTGATCATCGTTGGCAGATCGTTTTATGATCGTTCTGGCCTCTTCCTCCCCTTGCGGGCGGGTATAAAAGCTGAATATTTTTCTGACAGATCACTGCAACTTCTTATGTTTCGTTTTTCATCGCAGCGATCATTTGATTTGCTGTGCGATCAGTTGAACAGTTTCGTGGAGCCTTGACTGAGTCATTGCCAAGAATAGGGCATCCTTTCTCACTTCCAGCTGTCTGTCAATTCTTTTCTCTCCTCAATATCTTCAACTTCATCTTCATTTGCGCCATCGAGGGCAATGTCAGACGTTGCGACGCTCTGCGCTGTGATCATTCGCTGGATTCCCAGGCAGCATTGTAAATTTAGTTGTTTGAGCACACGCAATTTGCCTGGCAAAAAGGGGGCGTGCATATGTGTGTGTGTGTGTCTGTGTGAGTGTGTTTTTGTTGTGGTCATAAACCCGCATTGTTGTTGGCATTTTATTTGCTTATTAATTGCTCAGCCGCACTCACATCGTTGATCTGGCGACTCGCAGCTCGGCATGCGGCCCATGCAACTTGATGGATGCTCATAATATGTGGGCTGTGGGTGAAGAAATAAAATCATTTGATGCCGCGCTGCCTGCCACTCCACAGACAATGGCCATATAGTATGACAATGTAATGCCAAAAGTTTCACTTCAAGAGTGAAACGGCAGCTATTTTTATTATTATTATTGTTTTTCTTGTGTTTTTTTTCTGTGTTTTTTTAGAGATCGAATCAACTGTGAAGTTGATCTTGCTGTGATCGCGGCTTTCAGGCTGACGTAAACTTTGCTCGAACTTCATTTCAATTTTATTTCAATTTCAACTTATTGGAACAGGATCTAGTAGGAGATCTTGTCTATCTCTAACCGAGGTTATCTTGCTGATCTTTTCAGAACTGCTGCCGATCTTGTTTATTGCATTGAGGATTTTAGTTATCTTGGATGTGGCTGATCTCGATAGTTTTCGATCTCATAATATATATATTTAAAGTTGCTAATTACTACTTATTTACCTGAGCTTTTCATTAGGGGCATACATCTGATTTAATAGCTGATCCTGTCAGAGCTACTGAAGATCATGTGAAAAATCTTGGTAGAGTTTGATCAAGCTTCGTTTCAATCTAAATCCTTATTTACACTGAACATGGCTGAGTCTATTAAATTTGTTTCTAGTAATCATGTTCAAAATCTTACCAATATACAATCTGACTTAGCCCGAGCTCACAATGATCTACGAGCTGACTTAGACCGAGCTCACAATGATCTCAAGCCCTGGCCTTAGAGCCTTTAGTAATAGCTTGAATCCTAATCTGAACTTCAATTCCTTTTATGATCTATATACACTTATCTGCTCAAATTTCGTGGCATTGGCAAATGTGAAATCGATTTGCTGATCCATCTAACTGATCTTTCTAGAGCTGTTGCGCATTTTGTATGATCTACTTTGTTGAAGTGACTCTCTCACTTGTCTAATCTCTTTGGGCATTTGCTCAACGTTTTGTAAGTAGCTCCGCTCAGTTTTGAGTACCTGCGGCTGTCACAATTATCGAATTAACACTGTGAGGCTCATTTAAGCCGCTCAATGGGTAGGCGGGGCAACGGTTGTTCGATTAAATGCCGCGCCATGATTGTCGCCTATTAACAAAATCAACTCTGATGCGGGCGGCTGGCGGCTCTAATCAAAAGCATATTTATGATATATATGAATATAACACACTTACACAGACAGTTGAAGATTAGTGTGTCTGTGTGCGTGTGCGTGTGTGTGTGCTTGTGTTCCTATTACAAAGTCGTTACTGGGTCAGGGGTACCAAGCGACAACGACGCATGCTTAAATTTCATTACATTTAATAACGTTTAGTCATCAACGGATTGTTTCATACCCTGCACTGATGTGAAGCAGATATTGTGTGAATCTGGGTATATATAGAGTGGGAAAGGAAATAAATTCAAAAAAATTATATTGATGGGATAAGAAATATTACCGACTCTAGACGATATATCTGTCTATGTTATTGTATCAGAATTGTATATGTGGAAATTTGCCTTTGTTCATTCGATAAAAGTGAATTTATCGTTATCGATAACTAGACTCTACTAGCTCAAGTCTCTTTAGTTTTGTTGCTATTATGCCTTGGATACATTTAGCTAAATTTACTGGCGTTTGCCATAACCCCATGTACAGAAAATAGTAAGCTATCGATAATTATCGATTTATAGTATTGAAGTTTCAGAGATTAGAAGACCTGCTTGAGGGCTTTAGCAGCGCCACAATGTAGAAAATGTACCCAAATGTAGAAAAATCTCTGAAATCGATAAA